GTGTCAGTGTACTGTGTCCCTGATTCACCTGATTGTGTCAGTGTACTATGGCCCCTGATTCACCTGATTGTGTCAGCATACTGTGTCCCTGATTCCCCTGATTGTGTCAGTGTACTGTGGCCCCGAGTCTCCTGATTGTGTCAGTGTACTGTGTCCCTGATTCACCTGATTGTGTCAGTGTACTGTGGCCCGGAGTCTCCTGATTGTGTCAGTGTACTGTGGCCCCGAGTCTCCTGATTGTGTCAGTGTACTGTGTCCCTGATTCACCTGATTGTGTCAGTGTACTGTGGCTCTGATTCACCTGATTGTGTCAGTGTACGGTGTCCCTGATGCATCAGATTGTGTCAGTGCACTGTGGCCCTGATTCACCTGATTCTGTCAGTGCACTGTGGCCCTGATTCAACTGATTGTATCAGTGTACTGTGTCCCTGATTCACCTGATTGTGTCAGTGTAATGTGGCCCTGAGTCACCTGATTGTGTCAGTGTACTGTGACCCTGATTCACCTGATTGTGTCAGTGTACGGTGTCCCCTGAGACACCTGATTGTGTCAGTGTACTGTGGCCCTGATTCACCTGATTGTGTCAGTGTACTGTGGCCCCGAGTCTCCTGATTGTGTCAGTGTACTGTGGCTCTGATTCACCTGATTGTGTCAGTGTAATGTGGCTCTTATTCACCTGATTGTGTCAGTGTACTGTGTCCCCTGAGTCACCTGATTGTGTCAGTGTACTGTGGCCCCGAGTCTCCTGATTGTGTCAGTGTACTGTGTCCCTGATTCACCTGATTGTGTCAGTGTACTGTGGCTCTGATTCACCTGATTGTGTCAGTGTACGGTGTCCCTGATGCATCAGATTGTGTCAGTGCACTGTGGCCCTGATTCACCTGATTGTGTCAGTGCACTGTGGCCCTGATTCACCTGATTGTGTCAGTGTACTGTGGCCCCGAGTCTCCTGATTGTGTCAGTGCACTGTGGCCCTGATTCACCTGATTCTGTCAGTGCACTGTGGCCCTGATTCACCTGATTGTGTCAGTGTACTGTGGCCCTGATTCACCTGATTCTGTCAGTGTACGGTGTCCCCTGAGTCACCTGATTGTGTCAGTGTACTGTGTCCCTGATTCACCTGATTGTGTCAGTGTACTGTGTCCCCTGAGTCACCTGATTGTGTCAGTGTAATGTGGCCCGGAGTCACCTGATTGTGTCAGTGTACTGTGACCCTGATTCACCTGATTGTGTCAGTGTACGGTGTCCCCTGAGACACCTGATTGTGTCAGTGTACTGTGGCCCTGATTCACCTGATTGTGTCAGTGTACTGTGGCCCCGAGTCTCCTGATTGTGTCAGTGTACTGTGGCTCTGATTCACCTGATTGTGTCAGTGTAATATGGCTCTTATTCACCTGATTGTGTCAGTGTACTGTGTCCCCTGAGTCACCTGATTGTGTCAGTGTAATGTGGCCCTGAGTCACCTGATTGTGTCAGTGTACTGTGGCTCTGAGTCACCTGATTGTGTCAGTGTAATGTGGCTCTGATTCACCTGATTGTGTCAGTGTAATGTGGCTCTGATTCACCTGATTGTGTCAGTGTAATGTGGCCCTGATTCACCTGATTGTGTCAGTGTACTGTGGCCCCGAGTCTCCTGATTGTGTCAGTGTACTGTGGCCCCGAGTCTCCTGATTGTGTCAATGTAATGTGGCTCTGATTCACCCGATAGTGTCAGTGTAATGTGGCACTGAGTCATCCAACTGTGTCTGTATAATCTGGCCCAGAGTCGCCGATTAGGTCAGTGTAATGTTGCCCATGATCACAAACACTATGATTATGATCATTGTCATTGTCAAATATAATGAACTTCAGAATTATAAGCTTTTTCAACATAGCATAATTAAGTATTTTTTTAACATTTGAAAGATGTCTTCAAGATACACTAAATGACACAAGTTTCTCATTTATTTTAGTTTGACCAAGACATGCATCTGTTAGGAATTCATTGCATATAAATCAAAGACCGAGAATTGTAAATAAAAAAAGATAATTTAACCAGCATATAATCCAGTGAATCGGAGATGAAACACATTGTCAACCAGATTAGTAGAAACTTGTGAAAACATATACACATTTTGCCCTAACGTCTTTAGACAAGCACTATTTTACTTCAACATCACCTTCAGGTTCGCCAAGCTTGGTGTAGACTGCATCTGAGATTCAGAAGACAAGACTGGGACTTTATACTAGTTTCATCTGGACAGCTCTGATGGTCGTGCATGCTTCTACAGGCGAAGTGGTGGCATGTGGTACTGTGCACAACACAAAGGACCAGATACAGACAGTAAAACTAGTTCATTTGGGCCAATCTTTGGTTGACATTTGGAACAACATTCCCTAGGCTGTTGTCATTCATCTTGTGTCTTCAGTGGCCACTGCCTGGCCTTTATCAACACAAAATAATGGTGATCACACCTAACATTGTTAATTGTGTTGTTACACCATCCCTCTTTTAGAGCAAATAGCAACCTGTTGCCAGATATGTCTTTGGTAAATGAATAACTTGAATGAAAATACATATAAATACTAAAGCCAGTCAGTTGTCACATTCACATTTTGGCAAACCCAAAGCATTTTGAGTTTGACTTCACAAAGACAGCATGTCTTCTGGGGACGATCTTTCATTAGGATGCCTCTTACAACCAACAGTTGAAATACTTGAATCCCCAAGAGTATGGTGATGTACATCTGAATGAGCATGCTAAATCACACCGAAACAAATAACAAATATGCTCTTGAATGACAGCACTTTATTGATAATCAAGACATAGTGAATGTAATCTAGAATGGAGATAAGCATTGTAGGTATTATGGAATATACTCATCATCAGCCAAGATGGATGACAACTTTGATGATGATGCTATCAAGTACATGGAGATGTATATCGGCTGTTTATACTCTTGTCCAACAAAACCATTTTGAACTCACCTGGAACACTTCTCCCACAGCAATTAATTATTTCAACTACAACTAGAAGTAATGAACTCATGTGAAACTTTGAGTCAACCTACATGTGGATATTAGCCAATACACATTTGTCAGAATCACACAGCAGTAATCCCTAGTCATGAAAATAAATTGACAACAGAAGAAAGAAGAAATTATTAGTTTGCTACAGACATTGTAGCAAGGATATTATTGCCATGATCAGGAAAAACAGACTTTTGTCTGATTGAAATGTACGATAAGTGTAAATTGTAGACTAGTAAGACTGTCAGTGCTGTGCAAATTTCACAACAAACAGGCTCTTTTGTGTTAACTCTCGGGTGAAGATGTCATATATGATAATGCATCAAATTATTCCTTTGCAGGATTATTCAGGATCTTGCATGAGACAATATCAGTACATAGGTTCTTTGTGCAGTTAATGAAAGCGTTTACGTAAACATTTTTTAAAAATGAACGGTACCAAAGTTTGATATGAAAAATAAAACGCTACATCGATACAATCATTATACTGGCATTCTTTCAAATCTCTCTTACTACAATAAACTACAGTATCATTCCATAACAACATGCTGTAAGCTTTAAGGTACACATCATGCTCACCAAGCGAGCCATGCTGAATGCAAGCATCTTTCACTCAGATATTCATCTTGTCAACATCACTACAATCATTCGTTGATTTCATATTCTCACTGAGTTAACTACAATCAAATTGCACACATAATTAGCACACATTTATGACACACTTCGTTATATCATAACATGTAAAAAACAAGCATGTTTATAGATGAGTATCTCGATTATGACAGTCTAAAATAAAATTTAATTCAACATGTTTCTAGGTACAACCATGTAGTGCTCTATACTGTTTTAACAGTAAAATATATGTTAATGTGTTAACTGTCACAATTACCTTTTAATCACACACCAGAAGCATCACCACCTTAGTGTCGATATCACGAATGAATCCTAATGTGGTGTAACTCCATAACAATATTTTAATAATAAATGACTGACATGAAAAATTTAACATTCAACCAAATAACTCTGAAACTGTTCATTCATGACTACAGAACATCACATTTCAATCAGTAAATAATGGTGTAAAATTCTGTGACTTGATATATGAGAAAGTAAATAAAGCAACAAAAAGTGTAAACTGACTCAAACTGGATTACTGAAAATAAAAATAATCTGACCATAGTTTTTAGATTGATTAAACTTAAACAAAATGATAATCATTGTAACAATGAGCAGAAATGGTAATCATAAATAATTGGCTATATATTTCTCTGCATACTTTGTGATGGGATATGATGTGCCATAAATATCAGATCTTCTTGTGAGTGGATCATTGAGTAACACTGATAATCTGAAGCTGATTACAAGACAAGCGTGACACAAGCTTAGAGATAATTAAGATACATTCATGATATAAAAACAAGGTAAGTAAATGTACATGTGGTATGTATGTGTGAGTAAATTAAATATGATATGAGCAAAGCCATCTTCCCACTATGTCACTGGTCCACGTACACACAGCATGATTTGTGTTATACTATTATGTGGATAATGATCATGTAATATTTCCTTATATCCCACTTACTAGGTATCAACTCAATTTTCAGTTTTGAGGAAATCTTTCTTCAAATTAAATGCATATTCACTCATAAACGTCAACTAATTTGACATATTTGCCAATTGACAATGAATTTGAAATGAGAGAACAAGTTCAACAAATGACAAGTGGCTCTCCAAATGCAAATCTTTACCATCAATGAACGTTTCACCACTATGACTTTCATCTTGAGTTTCATCTCAGTGAGTGAGTGAGTGAGTGAGTGAGTGAGTGAGTGAGTGAGTGAGTGAGTGAGTGAGTGAGTGAGTGAGTGAGTGAGTGAGTGAGTGAGTGAGTGAGTGAGTGAATGAGTGAGTGAGTGAGTGAGTGAGTGAGTGAGTGAGTGAGTGAGTGAGTGAGTGAGTATGGTTTTACGCCGCTTTTAGCAATATTCCAGCAATATAGCGACGGGGGACACCAGAAATGGGCTTCACACATTGTACCCATGTCGGGAATCGAACCCGGGTCTTCCGCGTGACAAGCGAACGCTTTAACCACTAGGCTACCCGACCGCCCCTCATCATAAGTAGCATCTTATAATACACATAAAGAGGTTTAAAGCAAGTCAGAGTTTTGTCTACACATGCTTTTCTTTGTTTTTTGTTTAACACTGATCTCTTCAATACAGCAACATTATGCTGGCGGCCTGTTAATTATCAAATTTGAACTAAAGGCAAACCAGTGACTGATATTATGAGCAGCATCCCACGCTGATGATGTGCAATCAACCAAGTCACTGCTTCTGACCACCTGATCTTTTCATTTGCCTCTCTTACAACAAGCATATGTTGCTGGGGATCAATTGTAACCTGGAATCCCAAGGGAAACGATGTGTAGATGGACCTAGACACAATGGGATACAATTTACTACCGAGTAAATTGTCTCTTGTCACTACACTCAAACTGCAACACAGCAACATTAACTTCACACTGCAACATTGTCACAGTGTATTCCCGGCAATATCACCGCTGGCTACAGCAAGGTAATCCAGACACTGTCTGCTACCACTAAACACATGGAATGTTTCACACACTAGAGGGTAACACTGTATACTCAAATTCTTAAACTTAACAACAAAAAGTTTAGCAAAGGGATGGAGGGAATAGAAGTAGGAACATGAACTTGAGCAGAAAATATCTTAAAAGACAATACTTATATAAACTATGCTAAAAAGCAAAAGGGGAAAGTTAAGTTATAGTTCTGTATAGCACATCTAGGACAATTGGTTAATGGTGCATGTAGTATCAGTAAGTCACCAGAGCCAATCAGCGTTATAGGATATGTAACTCACACTGTGTGGAACTAGTTTCAACCTTGAGTGGTTGTCTCTACTCATTTATCCCATGTGACTTGCCCCTTCTATGGTCAACACTCCCACCACACAACACACTTTAAGTAGGCTTTAATGTCAACTGTACATGGAGCGTATGTCAGCCTTGAAATGTGCCTCAATGTTTCTCCGCTTCAGTTTGAAGGCATCAGTCACCAGACCAGCCTCTGGTGTCCAGCCTTCAGGGCACAACTTGATCATCTGGGGGATCTCAAACTTCTCTAGCTTTGCTGTGGAAAAAAGATAGGAGGTATATTAGTCCATTATCTGGTTGTTTCATAGTCTTGTAAGTTACATAGGGGATGCAAGTCTGACAGCACATTTTCACATCACTATGACCTTTTGAACAATCTATGTCATTACCCAAATTTGAAAGAAAATCTTTTGGATGACATTCAGTCCTAGAACATGAACTCATCTGAAACCACTGCACTGATCATCACCCCAACATGTTATCAAGGATACAAAAATAACATGCACTGTGTTCTGGGGCACTGACCAATCACATGAAACATCCTGCATGAAAACATTTCAGCTCTCAGGCCCCCAAGAAGGAAAATGAGTGAGACGATGTGACACTCAACAGTCAACAATATTAAAGTTATGCAAATACAACCTGAAAATAATCAAATCTGGGACTTACAAACCAGTGGTTGAAATCATAAGCAATTTAGTCAACAAATTTGGGGTAAGATACAAAGGTAACAAAGTCAAACCTGTAACCACCCAAGAAACTAGGGTCTTCAGCATGACACAAAATTTAAATCACCTCACAGCCTCTAACTGCCTGAGGAACAAATATTTTCAGTTTCTCTTGCCATAGGATAAATCAATTTACAGAGTAAGGACTACTTGCCAAATAGCCACGTGGTAACAATGTCTTATGCAGTTCACTTTACTTGTAAAAGTATTTCAGAAAATTATTACGTCAAATACACAGAACAAATTACACATCATGTAAAAGCCTGTATAATGATACATGATACTAACATTTAGCTGACAACACGGACAGCCTCTTGAGGACATCCTTGACCAGTCTGGTGTTCTGACACAGCTGGTTGAACTCCACTCCATTGATGCTGAGTTCCTGGGCTAGCTTGGTCAGGTTCTTCTGGTTAGAGACAACCAGTGCCACTGTGTAGTTGTAGAGACTGTCGGCACACACACAGATCTGGTCCACCAGGGGGGACACTTTCACAGCGGTCTCCACCTTGGACAGCGACACATACTCTCCTGCCTGGAGCTTCACAAGGTCCTTCTTACGATCTGGTGAAAATAATATTCCAGTTGTGATAAGAGAATGAGTTAAAATACAGGGTGGCACAGGAAATGCTTCAGCCATTTAGAGTGATGGAAACATGTTATTAATTTTAAACTCACTAAGTAAACCCAGTTAATACTGACGTGATCTAAAAAAATCTATGGCTTAGTTCAAGTAATGCATATCTACCATGTCCGTTGTACCATAAATCAAAAGCTGTCCACTGTGAAGATGAGGTTTAAATTCTATTCAGCGATTAATAACATGATATGACTTGTTTGTTTATTTATTTATTTACAGCTGCACTCTACAATATTCCAGGTAACTGGGGACCTATTCTAACCAAGAATCCATTTATACTGGATAATTCATCATACAACAAGAAAATACAATAAGAACATTTGATAGTGACCTATAATTTTCAAACATCCATCTCCATCAAACTGGCCGATATCTCCAGTACAGAAGTATCTTATGCCACCAATCTCAGTGAAGTCTTCCTTGGTCTTCTCTGCATTCTTGTAGTAGCCCATGGAGACATTGCCGCCACCAACCAGGATCTCTCCGCGAGGACAGGGCTTGTCGGCACTGGTGTAGTTACCTAAAACACACAGAACAACATGAGAGGGCAGAGGCTGTGTGTTCTGGCATACAAATATGATGACAAGAGGGAAATTATTAATGAAAATGAAGATAAAACAAGGTTCACATAACTTGATGTTTCAACAGGTGTTTCCCAATTCAATATTAACATGTGATGGCAAAGAGAAGATGAATGAAGTAATGGAAATGTATGTCATTATTGTGTTTATGAAATAAAAAGATATTTCAGTAACAATGAACCTCACTTTATAAATCCAATTATCTCGAAAGGCAAGGTTAAACAACTTTTCACCGCACCTCACTAACCATGTTAACTGCAATTCCCTTAATGTTGCTAAACCTCATACTCATACTCTAGGTTCATGTACTAATAAATATATGATAATACTGTCAACATATGCGGAAAACAGTTTTAACTAAAAGATAGCATTTCTGATAAGCGGTACAAAGTCTGATAAACACATCTATTCTTTTTCCAGTTTCCTTTCACAAGAGAGTAAAGTGTTGCCAACAAACATAAACATGTAGGTGTACCTTCAGGCCAGTCACACAGTCTGATCTCGCTGCACTGCAGTGGGGCCCCAACCCTTCCTGTGCTGAGGTCTGTCACTGAAACACACATTGCTACTGTGTAAGTCCTCTTGGATGGGGACAATATAATCAGCATGCTTCAGTGTATTCTATCATTCTTCACAAATCATGATCATCCATTCCATCTCTCTATGCTGCTATACCTTCCGTGACAGTTCCTGCACCACAAGTCTCTGTGAGGCCATATCCCTGACCAACAGGACAACAGAAGCAGATGTTCATGAAACGCTGTGTTGCATCTGACAGGGGGGCTCCGCCACATAGCATCAGTCTCACATTCCCTCCCAGGAGCTTACAGATCTTGCTGAAGACAAGTCTGAAACAATTGGTTCTGCATCTTTAGAAACTACTGTAACAGAGTATCCAATAAAGACAAATACAAGTATAATAGTCTAAAACTTGTGTCAAGGCAAATGTAGTCTTGGAAACTCCTTCAAGCCTTACTCTTGGTGCGCTATAAACAGAAGCAATTTGATATATTACAATATATAACAAAAACAAAGAGAGCTTGAACAAAGAGGAACAGAAAATATGCAGGGATGTCATACAACATAATTCTGCATGAGCTTTATCACATTAATCTGTCAGTGATATAATACAGATGGTTACATTTCAGGGAAATATTGCATTATCTCCCCTTAGCCAAGCAATGATAAACGTACCATAAGACTATCACATTATGCAGCAACTAATGACTATCAATTTCAACTGAAATGATAGACAACATATAGTTATATAGAGTGAGAGAGAGAGTAAATATTGAAGTGCCTATACTTACAGGAACGGCAGCCATCAGTGTAGGCTGTAGTACTGACAAATCACCTATACTGCCTTTCTTTATCTTACTGGACTGAAAAACAAACAATAACAGTACACAATCACTGCAAAACAAAGAGAGCTTGAACAAAGAGGAACAGAAAATATGCAGGGATGTCATACAACATAATTCTGCATGAGCTTTATCACATTAATCTGTCAGTGATATAATACAGATGGTTACATTTCAGGGAAATATTGCATTATCTCCCCTTAGCCAAGCAATGATAAACGTACCATAAGACTATCACATTATGCAGCAACTAATGACTATCAATTTCAACTGAAATGATAGACAACATATAGTTACTAACTTGTTAAGCAAAGGTGTATCATATCCATTCTCCAACTGTTTCCTCTTGTACTCATAAGCGAATGAAAATAAGGCCTGTCCGAACTTCCCTCCGTCATTGACTTTGTCCCACACACCCTTGTAGATCCTATCCATGATCACCTGAAACACACTTGCTTTGATACAACCAGGGTTGTCAGTGTTAAATGAAAAAAGGCATCTTCAGTAGACAACAGAGAGTGAGAGAGAGAGTAAATATTGAAGTGCCTATACTTACAGGAACGGCAGCCATCAGTGTAGGCTGTAGTACTGACAAATCACCTATACTGCCTTTCTTTATCTTACTGGACTGAAAAACAAACAATAACAGTACACAATCACTGCAAAACTCTTATAACAATGTAGATAAGAAAATCTCTAGTTGCAGAGGACAATGATTTTACAAAGAGCACTTCTGTTTGCAAAAAGTTATTGCCTTAGAAAGTCATCATTATCAAGTGAACTACTACCCTTCATAATAACGGTGTAAAACACACACATAATGTTCACTGCATAAAACAAATGACAAGGTTGAATGTCCTGCAGCAACATGTTGATGATTCTGGTTTTCACTCAAGCTAAGATGGAGATAAGATAAGAGGAGAGGTGCTAATTTCACTATTATTGGTAAAAACATATTCATGATTGCAGGTAAGAAACAGAAATAATAGATTTTTCCAAATAGGGTGATATTTAGACACTGTGGTCCGTGTGGTCTCCCCATTTAAACTATAGTTAAAGACCTAAGTGCTTAAAGAAATTGCACCTGGTGATGGTGGTCTTATCACTCATGTTAGTTTAAATCCATAGCATGGGAAAAAGTGACAAAGTTCTTAAACACAGTTTTCTGCCATATTGGTACATATGTCTGACAACTATCCACACATCCCAGGCAGTATCTGAAATCATGATGTCAAGAACGAAAATAATCCACTTATCATAAACGAAAGTCTGGACCACCCATCAAGAAACGATACCTTCCGGGCGGTCACTGTTCCATTGATGTGTATATTAGTAGGGGGAATTACTACATTACGTTTGCGATGAACTGATATTTAATGTTAAACGACTACTCCTTATGTTGGAGGCAGGGGCAGAATGTGCAACAGGCTCTCACATAGGTGGCACTTCTGAGGTGTGCCCTTTGAAATTTGAAGGTAACAGCACGTATAATTAAACCTTTTATCCATCTTTGAACGAGATAAATGCCATTTCACGCTGAGCTTGATAGAATAAAAAGCTGGCATTCAGACAGTGTTCACCCTTAGTTTTCCCCCTTCCTTTTGATTGGAATTGCTAAAATCCGTTTTAATTTATTAACGTCATGATTTCATTTCTGGATCATTATGTGCAATATGTGCGTTCGTTCATGTCTTCATTTCTTCAAGTTACGTTTGTAAAAAAAGTGGCTTCTAAGGCACACGGAACATATTGAACCACACAGGATACAGATAGTGTATTTATTTGAGTTATAACACAACGTTTTGGAATACCGTTATTAATATATCGCTAGTTTGTTACAGGATGTGCTTTAAAACATGCAATTTTATTTTATCAGGTGATATTATACCAAATATATCCCTAGATAGACCTTGAGAATATCTTTTGAGACGTAAATCTTTCATGTAAAGGAACAAAGTTATCTTGAAAGTCATAGCTTGAAATGTAACTCGAGATGCATTGCATGTATATCAATAAAACTTATTACAGGTTATCCTAAGGGAGGGGTCGTCATACGTATAGGGTCGAGGTAACAGTGAATGTGAAATATGTATTGTCACTTCAGATATATTTGAATCATGCATATAGTAGTATTTGTTTTTTACAAAATGTAAACAGCCGTAGGGTGGCCCAGTTTCAATGAGAGCCATATTGCTGTGTTGTTACATTTATTCCAACAAGGGACGACATGTTTGGTGATGCGAATTTAATGTTCTCGAAATACTTATAACTAAATGTCAAATTTTCTCTTAAACACACTCAAAAATATAATATGTTCATGATAACTCAAGTCGGTTGTTTGCAGATGAATTTCGATATGTATGATCTTTAGAAGGGGCAATGTACACAGCATGAAACTCGGGGCTACGTTTGCGGAAACACTACGGATATCTTCCCATTGTGACGTTTTGAACGTCATTGTCACTGGAATTGGCCACTTATATTTAGTTGTTCTTCGTGCACTCTACCACTTTTGGCGTGACGTGTTTGTAAGAAAGCCATGTCCGTCCGACATAATGTTATTAAGAAATGTCAAAAGGTACCACATTATATTAGCAAGAGGCTGTTTTTGGGTTGTACTAGTCATGACTAAAAAATGCTAGGTATGTAATGGGGCCTTCTGAAAATAGCGGTTAAGTGTCTGCTTCTGTGTAATAATAATAATAATTATAATAATAATAATAATATGGATGACCTTGACCTTATTGCTAATGGAACTAGTGAGTGAGGTTTAACGCCACTTTTAACAGTATTCCAGTCATATCGTGGCGTGTCAGCTTAACGTGGGAGGAAAGCCCAAAGTGATGCAGGCCTCAGATGTTTACCACTTCGGTGAAATCTACGAGCATGGTTATGGTGCTGACAAACCTAGAAACATAATCGGGGCGAACCGGGAGTCGAACCCACAATCATAGGTTTCTGGCGTGCCCAAGGGACGCAACTCTGTACAGCGAATTGCGGCGCCTTAGACGACTATGCCCCCTAATGCCAATTAAGGATCCACACTAAAAACAGATTCTCCTTGTCGAGTCCTTTTCTAATGATATCGGCATGTCCTTTGGACTCGACAAATGCAACATTTTTTATCTGCAACATGGCAGGGTAGAGGAGGGAGGATCAGTCAGTTGACTTGGAGGAGGAGTTATTGACCATCTCGTGAAAGGCCTATACGTACTCAGGGATGCAGATTAGGGACAAACTCCAGAATGCCCATATCAAGGAAAAACTTCGGGAAGAGTACAAATGTAGACTTAAGAAAATATGGAATTCAGAGCTCAATGCTCGCAATAAAGTCAAAGACACAAATCCTTATGCCGTACCCGTCCTTATGTTTTGGTGTTGTTGATTGGACTAAACAAAAAAATGACAGCCTCACACGAAGAATCATGTCAGACAATAGATCCCGTCACCCTCGCTCCCTCCTTAATCGCATATATTTATCAAGCATAATGGGAGGGGGGCATGATGTTAATCACTGGTTGTCTGGTCCAGATTCAGACAGACAGACACACAAACAAATATATGTGTTCTATTTCAGCATTGCATGGCACTGACCCTTCACATGTCATTATTAGTGAGTGAGTGAGTGAATGAGTGAGTGAGTGAGTTATTGTTCTAAGTTACCTATCACGTAAGTCCTATTGGTACAGATATCAAGTATTTCATACTGGCACAATCTACATTGCGAACAAGTGACGAGTAAATCAATGTTATTGAAGTTTGCTGTTGCTATAGGGCTCGCGAGGAGGGGAATATCAGCATTACAGGTATCGCTTGATTTACTGCGAGACATAGTCATGTGAATGACGCTCAAATTACACCCACCTACTGTACCCACTTACTATAGCGTGTAACTTGTAGAGTCAGTGTGCCGCCGATGCCACACTGCATGAAAATGTGTATGTATTAAGATGTGTAGCCCGTTTATGATTCAAGAGAGGATCAGGGTAAGTTTTTTTAATCATAAGCAGGGCTATATAGTGACTAATATAAACTCTAACAAAAATTGGGGATAATCGGAAATAAACAAAAACTTCCAAAATTGTAAGGGCCATTAGTTTCTTGTAATAGTTGTATGATAATAATGAGCGAATTGGGAACACATCACAATCGGTAATGACATATATGACTGTTGGTGTTATGACTGCCAACGATCTTGAAGGAATGTAGGGTTAAGGTGGGAATTTTCAAAGTTGACGTTTTTAGATCAGTAGTGCTAATACTGCAATGATTTGACTAACATACATTCCCACGACGAGGCATACTGCGTTTGAATCTCCTAATGACGTTTTGAGGGAGTTTGTCCCACTCCTCTTGCAGCGCATGGCCAAGTTCAGCCATTGTGGTCGACAGCCTATGACATGACGCACACGTCTCCCTGTCATGTCCTTGTCGTGTTCAATAGGGTAATTGGTCTGGGGTCATTGCTTACCATGGATGTTGACGAGGTTTACAATGAAATGACTAATTTGTTATCTGAACCAAGGAAGTTTGGTAAACTGTAAACAAAATGTATATGTCCAGGTCCTAAACTACAACTGGACGCTGCTCGAGCCAACACAGACAGGTGCCACGTAACTACAGACGGTGAGCTGGTCAACTCGCCGCCCGCCACACGATACAGGGATGCCGGCAGGTTACAGACATACCACGGCACCTGTAGCTCTACCCCATCCCCCTTCCTCCACACCCCTCTAATGTCAGCCCTGCCCCACACACACCACGATACTGGGAGACCCACACCAGGGTGGGTGTGGTGAGTGGAGAGCGGTGGCCTGTTGTTCTAGAGATGGCTGTCGGGGAGGAGAGCCATGTGGACAGTGGGTGGTATGTTTGTGTACAGCGCCGCTCCTGGTGTGTCGGTGTAGGGAGCTGTGGCACACAAGGGGGGAGTTTCTGTACCTGGGTGTATCAGCAGGGGAAGTGGGGTGAGTGTTACAGAAACACAATGTCTGACACACGCGGCACACAGGCCACCCTCCACTATGGTGTTGTGCTGGATGTGGGGAGGGGGAGACTCGGCTTCATCGATCTCGACAGGGAGATTGTTTTGGCCAAGTTGGATGTTGAGTGGAGGGAGTCTCTTCTCCCCATGTTTGGTGTTGGGCCGCCAGGTGACCTCAAAGTCAACATGAAGGTGGTCAGCGGGGTGGACATCACCATGACTGACTCCAAGAAATCACTTATTTATAACGCCCTCATATAGGAAATAAAATAAAAATGACTTTGTGTAAAATTGTAAGTGTGACATATTTATTTAAACTGTCAAATGTAATGTGATTGTATGAGGCGGACATAGAAGTTGCCTGTCTATGCTCTGTTTGTTGTGTACAAGAATGTAACAAGGTTAGCTAAATGTGTTGTTTTCTACTTGACTAGTTTCTGTTGTGTATTAGAAACATTTTGCATCCTCACATGAATATTGTTATGACTATTAATCTGCGGTAATCGATCATTTTATCACACATTTCCTACATTTCTGGGAAATGGCACAACAAACTAGTGAGTGCACAAATTCATGAAATGTTGTTACAAATCATGAATTTGTTGACATGTTTCGTTTCTTCTCTGTAATATAATTGTGTTGTGCTGAAAGAATTGCAGTTGTGCCACCACATTGCCACATTTGATGTCGGTGAAGAAATGTGATGATAGTGATTGAAGCGGACTTAGAATGTACCTGTGTATATGTGATGGGCCTACGTAAATATTACAAACATATGATTGTGGGATCGAATCCCGGATCGCCCCAATTATGTTTCTAGGTTTGTCAGCACCATAACGTGCTCATTGGTTCACCAAAGTAGTAAACACCTGAGACCTGCATCACTTCGGGTTTTCCTCCCAAATAAAGCTGACGCGACGTGTTGTAACAGGAAGCTTGTTCAAAGTGACGTTAAACTCAACTCACTTACTCACAGGGAACCTTCTCTCTATAGGGTACCCCACCTAAATACAAGAAGTGCCTGCATGTTACCTGAGGCCCTACAAGGGTGTCTGAATGTAACCAGCATCACAGTTGCTGCACTGTGAACAAGTACAGGAAACCGGTGGGGCCTTGTAAAGGCTATATAACTAAAGCTGTCAGACTCTAGCATGGGCCGATGTTACTCTGATACAAAACACTGAATATAAACAAAGAAGATGATACTATTCTGAAACACGTGAGAAAATAACGTTGAGATAAAATAGACATATTGAAGTTTGAGGGAGCTGAGCCTGTGATTTTTTGTTCTTCTATATCGCGATATAGGTAAAACACATTCCCGCACTGATGATACCTCAGTGTTTGGCCATTAAATTGGAACATTACGAAAACTTACCAACTTATAAATAGTTTTCTATCCTTGAAAAACATTTCCTGCTGACATTATAACTATTTCTTGAACTACCACTACGACCGCCACGATAACAAATATACACATAGTTTCCTTTTCATTTTGATGCATCTTTACAAGCAATGTGTGGCGTATTCTGCAATATTTCTTTATCTGAAAGGTAACATAAACAGTATGAGGTACAAATGCATCGAATTTAGTTTGTTTGTTTGTTGTCTACTGCCGCAGTCAGTAATACTCTAGCTATATGATGGTGGTCTGAAAATAATCGTATTTGGACCAGACAATCCAGTGAGCATCGATCCACGCAATTGGGATACGATGACATGCATCAACCAAGTCAGCGAACCTGACCACCCGATCCCGTGAGTCGCCTCTTACAAAAGCATTTACGGCAAGCATGGGTTACTGAAGACCTGTTCAACCCCATATCTTCACGGGATCCAGATTTGGGTTGCATTACAATTTGTTCTGTTGTACTTTAGATTTATATAATGAATCACGACGGCCTGAAAAAAACTCTTGACAAGTTAAACCAGTGGTCGATAAGTAAACATAGTCCTGGGTCGTCGAGCTACGTTGACATGCAGTCTGCAGTCTGCCAGGTCACATGAAAATTGCTCGGCTTCTCCTTGTTTGTCTTTCAAACAAAAGTTGGCAAGGTTTTCATAAAAAGGAATACACGTGTCCTTGAATAACTGGTGCAATACAGTCCAAGCTAATCGACTCGTTACTACAGTTAAACCTTGTCACTCTCAAATCGTGCTGAGTACAGTTAAACCTTGTCACTCTCAAATCGTGCTGAGGACAGTTAAACCTTGTCACTCTCAAATACATGGAATCATGGCAGATATTACGTGACAAATTGCGAACTTCTTTCGTCCGTTTGTTGTTTAACGTTGCACTCAGCAGTATCCCAGGTACATGGTGTCGGCATGTAAACAGAACCAGCTGAGCCAATGGTTGATATCATGAGCAGCGATATACACCGCCGGGGTACGATGACGCGCAATGATTCAAATCACCGTGTCGTGACCTGATCTATCTAATCGCCTCTTACCGGCCTACGTTGCCCCGGACCTATTCTGATCCAGGTTACCCATGGGGGTGATTTGTTTTGAGTGATTCGACCAAACTATGGATTGTCTTAAGCATTAATTCATCGAATGTATGTAGTTGCAGATGACGAGCCGTCATAGTGTCTGCAGTTCAAGTGGCAATTTGGCGAACCTGTATTAGTGCAAAGATTGACGTAAAGGTGTCGTAGCGAAAAAAATATGTTAGCCTATTCTCAAACATGCCTTAGCGCTAAGGTATCTCAAGTTTACGACAATACTTACCACAGGTATAACCCCAGCTAATAGACGGCATGTTGAAGAAAACGATTCGACAGTATAGGTAAACTGTATCATGAAACGAATGTTTGTCACGTGAATTTTCAAAACACAGCAGCAGATCCCAGCAAACACCGCTGAAACATTGTATTACCGATAATGATGTATGCCAAACTGCGAGTCGAAAACTTGCTTTACAATCATTCCATACAAATGTAAATTTTTAAACAACATACCTTGTCCGTTTATTTCGGTTAAAACACTAGCAGCTTATACGGTTTTATCCTAAGGTTGAGAGTTTTAAATCTCACGAACAAACCCGCGGCGGAACGACATTTATCAACAAGTTTATGTTTCAAGCACTCTTTCCATAAACCTAAAGAAACGTAAAAGTAAAATATATCTATATGTAATTCCAGATGACGAGATGTCACAGTTTATGTGGTTCCTGATGACGTGATGTCAAAGTTTATGTAATCCAAGATGACCAGATGTCACAGTTTATGTGGTTTCAGTTGACGAGAAATCACAGTTTATGTGGTTCCAGATGAGGAGATGTCACAGTTTATGTAGTTCCAGATCACAAGATGTCACAGTTTATGTGGTTCCAGATAACGTGATGTCAAAGTTTATGTAGTTCCAGATAACGAGATGTCAGAGTTTTAAGTAGTTCCAGATAACGAGATGTCAGAGTTTTAAGTAGTTCCAGATAACGAGATGTCAGAGTTTATGTAGTTCCCGATGACGAGATGAAACAGTTTATGTGGTTTCAGTTGACGAGATATCACAGTTTATGTGGTTCCAGATTACGAAATGTCACAACTTATGTAGTTCTAGATAACGAGATAACAGAGTTTATGTGATTTCAGTTGACGAGATGTCACAGTTTATGTGGTTCCAGATGACGAAATGTCACAATTTATGTAGTTCCAGATAACGAGATGTCAGAGTTTATGTAGTTCCAGATAACGAGATGTAACAGTTTATGTAGTTCCAGATAACGAGATGTCAGAGTTTATGTAGTTCCAGATAACGACATGGCACAGTTTATGTAGTTCCAGATAACGAGACGTCACAGTTGATGTAGTTCCAGATAACGAGATGTCAAAGTTGATGTAGTTCCAGATAACAAAATTTCACAGTTTATGTAGTTCCAGATAATGAAATGGCACAGTTGATGTAGTTCCAGATAACGAGATGTCAGAGTTTATGTAGTTCCAGATAATGAAATGGCACAGTTTACGTAGTTCCAGATAACGAGATGTATCAAAGTATATGATTCCAAATGAATTTATGACACGAACTAGGTTAAATGTTATGCATAGTGTGCTGGGGTTTCGTGCTCTTGCATTTTGGCGATAACTGAAAGGGTGAGTTTATTTCATTGATGTGTATGGGACATTTATATGCATATCTGACGATACTCGGTTACTAGAAATTTGTTCATCGTAATTAATTTATTCACTTGTAAGCAACAAACGATTTTCCGCCATTTTGCGATGCATGTAGATTAAAACTTTCAAAACGTGACGAGTTGGAAGGGTATATAAGCAATCACTATGTATGTACAGCGGAGGCATTCCCATGTTGGGTGTGAATTAACAAGAAATATTTTAGTGGTGTTAGCACTTTTTATAATGATAGGAACAAAGGCTATGTGAGTTATTGGGAAGTGCATCATTTGAAGTATTGCCAATGTAGAGCCTTTGGATGTTGAATAACTTGACTTTGAAATCAGTGAGGCTATATGTGGCTCATGGAAGCAACTCAGGGAGATACAGTGCTCGATAGCACATAACAAACCCCCCCTGAGTTTCATGCTTAGATCATCGATGATTTTTGACAAAAAATAACATTTTGTTTTACCTGATGTCAGACTTTAACAATGAATAAGATACTCCTCGGGAATGAACGTATTGGTGTACTGACCGTCGTGGTCGTGATGTGTGACTGTGCATGCTAAACCCCGAAAGCCCAGTTTGCAAGGGTACGCTGTTTCAGCTTGGTGTCACGTTAGAGTTTATGTATCCTGCTTACATAGGAGATTAGCTGCATCCAGGACAGGCTGTACACAACCTTCTCTCTCGTGCTGAAAGACTAACTGTTGACAAGTAAGCTGCCTCTGGTCTTTTTAATGGTTAATGTTAGATATTCCATTCCGTAATTTGTATTGTTATTATAAAGAAAAAATGAAATATGCTTCTCTTTTTGATAGGTAGATTTTCATCTTTTCCATGATACAGATTCTCAGTAAATGTCATATGTATATTTGAATGTATCGGACATGATAAGCTGTCAACCGATCTCAGTGTATATCACGCCATATGCCCGGAGGGAAAGCGTTCAGCCCGGGTTTGTTTCCCATTTGGGTGCAATGTATGAACTTCAACTTTGTGTAATGTTGCTTGAATATTGCAAAACCGGCGTAAAACCATACTCACTTACTTATTCCAACATTCGTTCAAGTATAGGCACATATGAATTATAACACGTATCAAACTCTAGAGATGACGTGAACGAGTGACGTCCTGTCGATGATTCAGTTTGCACATATAAACCTTTTATCTCCTCCAGGATTAAACTAAGTATTAGAATGTTGAATATTTAAGCATATTTCCTTGTGTGTCTATGCGTACGTACACTGTATGCGCATGTGTAAGGATAGCCGTATGGATGGGTGCATTATTAGTACAAAAGTAAATGAATAAGAAAACGTACAACTTTATTGGTAACAACTTCTGGTTTATTGTATTTAGCAACGTCTCGATGTATAATCTTACACTGTTATAAACTAGAAGTTGGTAGCCATAAAGTTGTATGTTTCTTATTTACTCGCCAACTTCTACAACGCCAATCAAACAGTTAAAAGTATATATTACAAGAATAGTATCCCTACTCACAGTCTCATCAACACTTAACTCTCACCAATTTCGTAGTGGCATTGCATTCATCAGATAGGGTTTTCATTTTCCTCGCGGTGCAGCTGTTTACTTTCTCACATCAGACAAACTTTGTGTCTGGGTAAATATATAGATGGCTTTTGAACCGTGACACAGTGGTACTTTAGGATGATACTGCAGTATCTTACTTTGGTTAAATTGTACGGTATATGAAACTGTACTGGTCACCTTGAATGACCCTTGTACATAAACTCAACAGCTGTATTGTATTAATCTTCTGACCGGCAACAACCTGGGCTATGCGTGGTACATGCAGTGCCTGACCCTGCATGTCGGCACCACGTTATGTCGGTTACGCTTCAGAATGCCTTAGTCACTTGTGTCATTTGTAATGGCTGACTGGAAATGTATGTGATGCGACCTTCTCGTAATTCTGGCATATACGACAACAAATATTTACCTTGGCTATAAAATATTTCATATAAAACAGCACACGTTATCACCAGTGACATATACAGTTTACAGTGAGCATATTTCTGATATAGATAAAGCCACCAACGCCATGGCCAGACGGGAATGATCTCATACATTATTTTCTTGCTTATCTGTTATATGTGCGTCGTTTTATAAACGTATATCACTTTACAAGTTATATATTCTGCATTGGTCATGTTAATGTTGAAATGATTATGTTTGTTTCAGAATGCTGCTTTGGGGCGTGTGCGTTTTGCTGCTCCTTAATGAGGAGTTTACACAAGGTGTTTGTAAGTGAAGTTTATTCATTTACAAAAACGACTGTCCAGAGTACAACTGCAAGTAAGTGATGAACCGATGACGCGACTAACATTTTGTACATGGTGGCGTTTGAATCAAGCCCACTTCACTCATCGTCTGGATGAAGAATGATGTATGTTTTGAACTTTCTTTCTCGATTTGCGTTAAAATGGGTCAAACGTGTCAAACACAAGGATGGGGCCAAGAAGTTTACCTTAAGCTTCGGGTATATCGATGATCTTGTATCGTTCAATAACTGTCAAATACTAGTATTAAATTCTATTTATCAGATTTACCCATCTGCGCTAGAAATATAAGTGACCATATTAAGATCTAGGCATTAAGAGATCGGGTTGTCAAACAATATCACAAGGCTGTATGACAAGGTGGATTACTTCAGCTTTTTACTGTCGAGAAATAGTTCAGCAGCTGCAGCCTTTGGTATCTACATTTAACAACTTTTGAGGGCCAATCGTGCGTGCTCTTGTAATGAAGATGTCAAGGAGGGTCAAACGTTCATTCGTCAGGGTTACAGCATTAAAGGCCATGGTAAGGCTTTCAAAACGTTTTGTGGAAGAAGTTTCAGAATTGTCACAGCAGTGACACAACAGATGTTAGCGCAAATACCTTATTTTAACTAGTACCATTTTCTGCCTTTGCATGTGTTTATGTTGAGTGCCTTGGGTGGGACGCACCTCTTCGCAAACACCTGCTGATTCATAAACAACTGTTTTTTGATGTAGTCGGAACCTTACAATAGACTACAACTATAGCCCGGATAGTCACCCATCTCTTTAAAAACTTGTATTCGGTGAGGATATTAATTGAAAGATATGTAACTAGCCTTATCCGACAGATTTATTTATTTATTATGTTATATTATATGTTTTATTTATTTTATTTCATATTTTTATCAACAGCAGAAGTCCCAAACGCCGCTTTTAACAGTATTCCAGTTGTATCATGGCGTGAATTGAACTCTTAAATCTGTCAATAGGTAATTATAAACTGACTCTAACCGATCCTTGTTGGTCCATATATCAGATATTCTAGGCCTTCTCTTAACCCATTACTGGATGTCATAGGTCTTCTCATAATCTCTCCAAGTAGAACTTCTCCTTGTCCGTTATAACGTCGCTACATAAGTTTGGAGCCGACGTTAAACCCTATTTTACCTCACCTAGCCCGATTCCAGATGTCCTATCCCGTTGCAGGTAGGAAGGGTAGCCTAGTAGTTAAAGCGTTCGAACTTCACGCCAAAGGCTAATCATGTGTGAAGCCCATTTCTGGTTTCCCCCGCCGTGATATTGTCGTTGTCAGTTTTCCAATGAATTCTCCTTTCCTGTTAACAGATGTTACACGACGTCTTATATCCCGGCACACGATATCACAGGACTTCACCTACCCTGATCGAGTAACCACATGTCCTAATACTTGTCTATATACGTAACCAGATGTCCGATGAATTCCTTCAGAAATAAGGACATCAGTTTGAAACGTATGTCAAAATAGTAATGTACCTAATTAGAGAAAGGCCTGGTTAAAATGTAGAAGTGGATATAATACATCTTGTGATCAAAAGGTTTGTGTGTCCTCTGTATATAGATGCACGTTTCCGTTGACATTCCAAGACTTAAGAAACAACCCATCCCACGATATTATAAGCGTCATCCAAAAGTGGAACGGAAATGAACCACTTTCCAATTCCACGATGCATGTGTGTTGTGTAATGTAATTGTATAATATATCTGTTTGTAAGATGGGTCATATGGCCTTGAATGAAACAAGACATGAGTAATATATTTAATAAGGAATGTGTTTTAAACCTAAACGGAATACAACGTTTGGTGTGCCTAACACCACCGAAGCACAACATTCCCAAACCGTAAACATGTTTACGATTAAAATTCATACCATTGGGTATTATCCTAATAACCTAAACATGTTTAAATAAAGTGCATATAAATGGTCAGTAAGTCAAATATGATATAATGCACTTTACTCAATTAGATTTATACCACCAGGACGTACAACACCTGATATGTAATCACTGCTCTAAATGTGGACTAGATGTGACGTCAACAAAGTCGGTAGCACAGGTGATTGCAGCAAGGACTACAAATCAATCATAGTAATTACAAATGTGATGCTGCTGTATGACAAACAGTATTCCTATCATACAGGAAACGGATGGAGACAATGATGGTACACCTGATAACGTGATAGACACCTGACTTTCATCACCCCCTGATAGACGATTTATTTGTAAGCTGCAAAAGTTTAATATATTTACACACACAAATGGAAATTGATTGATGATTTTGGAGACTGCGTGTGTTCGATGCCCTATTTCATCTAAAGGTATTTGTAATGCTGACACGGATCACATACAGGTTCAGTTACATCACGTCAATGACATTCCGCGAAATGTTGATATATATACAGTTACGTCACGTCAATGACATTCCGCGAAATGTTGATATATACATATACAGGCATATTCAGAGATAAAGTCACGTCCCTGTGTAATACAAAGTCACATACAGACACATACACAGTGGAACCCAATCGTTTATTCCAGAATTTAGGCATCAAGGCCCACAGGGCACTGCAGATTGATGATGACGTTTGTCACTTGATGTACATGTTTGATTTTCTCATCACGAAGACATATTTTAAAAATACAGCAACAGCTTGGATCGTTTAATAGATTATCTTTAACGGGTGGTCTTTAAAGATACCCAGCTGAAAATACCTTTTCTAACACGATGGAACCCTGAGAGGTAGAAAATAAAGGAACCGGGAAACATTCTCTACTTTCTCCACCATTATTGAATATCTACACGCGTTTTCACACACAAGTACATTGATATCAGACACAAATAATAACTAAGATGATAGTCTTGAGGTTTACAATCTGTATTTCATGTTAAAATTTAACACGAAAAAAGCATTAAATAAGTTTTATCATCACATCTCAAGAACACATTTAATGATTATGACCCCTATTACGCTAACAAAGGCGCAGTGTCAACTGTGGATTGTTAATTATTGTGGCAATTAGTGTTTGGTCGGGATTAGCACTTGGAACGCTCTGATAAGTACTCATTTGAGTATTGACGGCTTAGTCAGTAATGTGTTTACAAACACACTGACTTTGTCTTTTTATCTTGTACATTTTACTATGTATCATGTATCTGGAAACCAAGGCAATGTTTAAGTGTCTTGTACTGGATTATACTTATTAGGTATAAAATAATGATAATTATATAATGAGCATGCCAGGGCCAAATGAAAGTATATACATAAGAGGTGTTTCCACTATTTCTATTTTATATATTTATATTTCCTTTTCCCCCGGATACACTATTTCCGTCTTTGTATGTGTGGCATACATTTACATTAATATTGTCTATATTTACAATACCCTTTGAATAAACTTTTATCGTTTAAAAAAGTAAAATAACTTTCAGTTTGCTACAGTGATTTAATTCACTTTGCCGTAAAAATGAAGGGATGAGGAAACAGTCTGATGCCACTGCTGACAAAACGTATCCTTTAGTCCTGGTTAATTAGATGTATAGATATATGTGAATCTGCCACATCCTGGGTAATCCGAACATATGAAAAGCCTCAACAAAATGCATTTCTCATATTTGAAAACCAATTATTTTTACTATTATCATCAAGCACCTTTAACATTTTATAACACTTATGTGGTTGTCTACTAGGCATCATGTCACTTAATCCAACAATCAGTGTAGAATGAACAAAGTGAGTTTCAATAATTGATAATTTAACAGATGTTTAAGGACTTCTAGATCCACCACAACGGCATCAAAATAGCTTTGAAATGTTGATTTGCGTATCTCTCCGATTACAGAATATTTTGCATTTCATAAAACACAGAACATGTCAAATCAATTTTTGAAAACCAATTAGTCCAGAAACTTTCCTCGTTGTGACGGCCAACGGTATCAACACAAGTCAACATGCTTCACAACCATCAAGCACAACCATCAACAACCAAGCACCACAGCCTAGCATCATCACCAAGCGCCACGACCCATCACCAGCAACAAACACCACAGCCAACACCAAGCACCACAATCACTACCAAGCGTCACCATCAAAACCACCACCATCATCAAGCACCATAACCTAGCATAACAGCCAAGCACCACCACGCACAATAACCCAACATCACAACAAAGCACCACAAACCAGTTCCATCACCAACAACACGCACTGCCATCGCCACCATCAAGCATCACCACCAGAGAGCACTACATTAGCCAGCACCTTCACTAAGTGCCACCACCGCCACCATCAAGCATCACCACCAGAAAGCACTACATTAGCCAGCACCTTCACTAAGTGCCACCACCACCACTATCAAGCATCGCCACCAGAAAGCACTACATCAACCAGCACCTTCACCAAGCACCACCAAGCACCACCAAGCACCACAACCCAGTACCACCAAAATGCATCACAACCTAGGACCGCCGTAGAACACCACCATCGCCATCGCCACCATCACTATCAAGATAAACAACAACAAAGCACCAAGGCACCACCAACGACAATACCACCAACCGCCACAACCCCCTACAAGCATCCCAATCACCACCAATCACCGCGGCCACCACCAAGCACCACGACCAGCACCAAGCATCCCAACCACAACGACCACCAAGCAACATCACTACCAAGCATCATAAACATGGCAACCGACACCAACCACCACAACAACCTGTCATCACAAAGCACTTAAACCCTACAACCACTACAAAGCAAAAACGCATAAATGGGCTTTTGATGGGGTAGTTGTTTGTTTTGTATAGTTGCATAATTTACGCCATTTTTATGAACTAATTTAATTGTTGTGAATGGAAACCTTGTGCATCTTGTGTATGACTATTACGATATGCTTCATCTGAGAACAGTTAATATTAAGGTGGCACTTATCACAGGTGACAGAAATGGTGCTCGTCACACACACACACACACACACACACACACACACACACACACACACACACACACACACACACACACACACACACACACACACACACACACACACACACACACACACACACACACACACACACAAATGCTCATAAATCTCGGAAAGATTGACCATCGCCGTACAAGGACACCAAGCACGAACCACAAAGCATCACCACCACAAGCACCGTAAGCGCAACAATCACCAAACACTTAGCACCATCTGCATAAACTGCACTACCACAACTATCAACATCATCACAAAGCACCACCACCAAACACCACAATCTAGCAGCACCATCAGGCACCGCAAAAAGACACCACCACAACCATCATCACCAAGCACCACTACCATCATCGCAAAGCACGACTACCATCATCACCAAGCACCACAACCATCATCACCAAGCACCAGAACCACCACCACGAAGCAACACAACCATCATCGCCAAGCACCACAACCACCATCACCAAGCACCACTGCCACATCACCAAGCACCACTACCATCACCAAGGACCACAGCCATCACCACCAAGCACAACAAACCATCACCAAGGACCACAGCCATCATCACCAAGCACCACGGCCATCATCACCAAGCACCACTACCATCATCACCAAGCACCAGAACCACCACCACGAAGCAACACAACCATCATCACCAAGCACCACAAGCACGATCATCACCAAGCACCACAACCATCATCACCAAGCACCACAACCATCATCACCAAGCACCACAGCCATCATCACCAAGCACCACAACCATCATCACCAAGCACCACAACCATCATCACCAAGCACCACAAGCACGATCATCACCAAGCACCACAACCATCATCACCAAGCACCACAACCATCATCACCAGGCACCACAACCATCATCACCAAGCACCACAGCCATCATCACCAAGCACCACAAGCACGATCATCACCAAGCACCACAGCCATCATCACCAAGCACCACAGCCATCATCACCAAGCACCACAACCATTACCAAACACCACAACCACCACCCCTACTACTACCCAGCACCACCAATGAATTGGCGACCGTGGTTGTGGTACGTACCATTGTGTGACGAGGCGACGCTTCACCCTGACGTCCACTCATGACCTGACCTGACAAAACAGCTGCAAGAGTTGATATGATGAACTTATACAAGGTGTCAGTGCAAAGAGTCATGTCGTATTATGATGGTTTCGAAATCGGAAAAGTGGCTAATTGGTCAGACTGCTTCCATTAAAAAGCATGCTACATAGCAATATCATTATCTTAGATATATATTGCAATAGGTGTATAGCACCACCAATAAATTGGCGACCGTGGTTGTGGTACGTACCATTGTGTGACCAGGCGACGCTTCAACCTGACGTCGGACCGCCTCAGTGGTCTTGTGGTAGAGCGTCCGACCGGAGAGCGGAAGGTCCAGGGTTCGATCCCGGGCCGCGTCATACAAAAGACGTTAAAAGATTGTACTTGTTGTTACCCTGTCTGGCGCTCGGCATTAAGGGGCTAAAACAAGGACTGGTCGGCTCGGAGTCAGTATACTGTGTCTGAGTGGGGTATTCATGTTAAACTGCGGCATGGTATCTCAGTGAGCTAGCACTATAAATCGGCATCAGTCCGGACTAGTACAAGCAGCCACACACACACATACACGTGCATGCACGTCGCTATATAAGTGCAATAATCTTGGACGCGACGTTAAACCCGATTTCACCTCACCTCACCCTGACGTCCACTCATGACCTGACAAAACAGCTGCAAGAGTTGATATGATGAACTTATACAAGGTGTGAGTGCAAAGAGTCATGTCATATTATGATGGTTTCGAAATCGGAAAAGTGGCTAATTGGTCAGACTGCTTCCATTAAAAAGCATGCTACATAGCAATATCTTTATCTTAGATATATATTGCAATAGGTGTATACATGTAGCAGGGCGTGGAGTCATCCCACAGATGACATCCTTACCTTGTCAGCTTGCTGACGGGGTTAACCTCTTTGGTCATGTGGACAAGGCGTCCGACCTCTGATCAGAAGGTCCGTGGTTCGAATCCCATCACGGGACTCGGAAATTTTATGGCCGCCACATTGGCGCCCAACGTGGGGCTGAGCACGTTCATATTAAATTTGAGCAAAATAAGCCTCAGTACCCTACTATGCGGCCCGGGACGTGCCTTCTGTTGACGGGGGAGTATGTAGCAGGGCGTGGAGTCATCCCACAGATGACATCCTTACCTTGTCAGCTTGCTGACGGGGTTAACCTCTTTGGTCATGTGGACAAGGCGTCCGACCTCTGATCAGAAGGTCCGTGGTTCGAATCCCATCACGGGACTCGGAAATTTTATGGCCGCCACATACAGTCTAGAATCGGTATATGATCTGCATTTTTTTAAATAGTAATATAGTAATGCATAGTAATGCACGATAATTGTTCCTTTGCTTCAGATGAAACAAGCAGTCAAAGGTTGGCTTCCTTGGCTGATGAATTCCAAACATGGCGGCTGAGTCAGCGGCCAAGATCAGCGACATCACGGAACGTCTACACCTTCAACGACCGCCTAAAGTCCTTCAACTACACCAGATATGAACATTTTAAGGTGCATACTGACATGGATTATTATATTGCAGATGTATTTAAATGTATTAAATATATAAAATACAGAATCGTTATATTGAACCGCATATGTTTTCGTTTCAGCAAGTTGCATTGATGATTGGATTTCATTATTATTTTTTTTATAGGGCGCTGGAATGGGATCGGTTAACAGCCCATGCGAGTATGGAGCAGGTTAAACAATACTTTACCTGTCTTCATACTTGGGAGATGATGTTGACTCACTTCAGTGTTTAGATCTAAACTGCAGTACAAAACTAGGTCATGTGTACATAACGTTGTGTTGTTTTGCGTTGTCTGCCGTAGGACTTTGTTGACGGGCTATACGAGCGCCTGGTAAACATCTCGGAGGTGGAGCTTCCCCGTCAGGATAAAATCAGCTTCAAAGTACTCCGCTACACACTAGAAGCCTTTCGAGACGGGTATCAGTGGCGATTGTGAGTTGAAAACGGATATGTGATAGTTATATCAACATGCTTTGACTGTAAGGATGAGTTTAAACAGATATTAGATTACCTGTCTTTGGAAAACAAACTTTCAGCAGAGTTATGTAAACAACACTATGCATATGTCTTACAGCCGACCGACAAACACATAGCCATACAAACATTGACTCGTTGTATACCCAGGAACGCGCCTAGCTGAGTTCTCCCTCTAAATTCAAGTCTATTGTTACTTCAAAAGAGTAACTTTGTATGACACAACAGCGCAAATTGTAAATTGTTTTCCGTCTCTCATAATGATATGCAATTACATATTCATAATATAAACGTTTAAGTAAGTTCAGTAAAAGATTGAAATAATTGATGCCCAAAAAGCACAATTTTAAAATTAGATAACTTTGACGACATCACAAACGAGCTTACAAAAAGATGTATAAAAGAAATGATAATTTAGACATGACATATCCACAGATACCATTGTTATGTCACTATCCACCGAATGCATTGTCAACATAACAGTATCAATTCCTTACAACGATCAAACGCACATACATTGATACGAATCAGATCCTAACGAGAAAAATATAACAAATGTTTATCCGAATTGAGTACTGCTGCTGGAGACCCTGGTGTTGCATGACACCTTAGATATCTAGATTCAAACACATCTTTGTTCATATGGCAGAAGTGATACTAGCATATTCTAACATTTTAACATATTCTAACATAGTAAAATTTATAATGAATAGTATAATATTTTGTCTGCAAATTCATCCTGTACACAAGGGCAAATTAAATCTACTTCGGTGCACAGCACAAGACCTCAGTTACTGATCGTAGATCACCAGATTTCTGTATGGAGTCAGACGCGTTGCAATGGATGCTTTTCGGTATCAAATAGACATTCAATATAGAGTAAATAAATCTATTTTACCCTTAAGATGGCCTAAGTAATGATAATATTCTAGAATACAAGATGGGGATGCAAGATTTCCTGTTTCAGTTACGTCAACTTGAACCCCGTAAACTTCCTTGAGGGAGTTCAGAAGGATGTGACCCGGATGACAAGCACCCCAATGAACACAAGGGGAGATGTGGAGAACTACCTTCACAGATTGACCTTGCTGCCACAACAGGTAACTCAACAATAATAATTTTGTAAACTCTTAGGCGAAAGAATTTATTCCAGCTTTTTTTCTGGAATTTCAAATTGTGATAATAAATTCGGGATAGGGTGTTCATGGCTTTTCAGTGATCCATTCATAGACTTTTCACAGCTAATTGCCCTTTGCGGCAAATGAAATCTGTTTTGGAGGATGATGAAGACGTTTTATATTTACAATAGAAGGTAGTGAATTTGAATGCAATATAGCGAAAGTGAGAACAGTTCCTATCACTTGAACTGAAACATTTCTTATGACAGCTTTTGTCCTCCTGGTATGTAGTCATCATTTTCTTATTTCCATATATTCACAAATATTTTTATTCTAAAATGCATTCTAGTATTTGGTCAACATACTATTTGGTCATTCGTCTGCTCAATGTTTTATTATAAGACATTCATTGACGAAACGCATACCTGGTAACAGATCGACACGCCCTAAAAGAGGGATTGCGTAACAACTCAATTAAAAATATCCATATCGGATGTGACACCATTTTGCGCAGATACATGCGGGGCAGCGGCGGTGCACTGAAGATACCAGATGATTGAGCCTTGGGGAAGTTGTGGATGTTGTTCCAACGCCAGTAAGGTTTGACGGACACTCTTAGACCATGGTGGTACTGCATTGTTATGCTGTCTCAAAAAGTGTGTTACAACACATGCAACAAGTGATGCGGGAATTATTCCTGAATTTGCACAAAGGCTAGAACTTGTCCAGATAGCGTACGCCATTCAAATTGCAATGAACAATGATGAGGCATTGTGTAACGCAAGCGTCGCTAAAACATCCTGGACGCACGACGATTAGAGCTGCCCATATGAAACCTGGACTCATCTGTGAACAATATATTGTCCATGTCTTGTCTTCTGAACTTGAGAAGGAAGATGTCTACACCAAGCTAGGGGTGCCTGGCATATTTCTTGACTTCCGTACCGGATCTTGAGCTCAATCACCGAGTTGCCTACGGTTCTACCACTAATTGGTCTCAACCCAGGAATAGTCCGAGCTGTTAATGTGGCAGTTTGGTATCAATATACTAGTATTCCGCAGATGCACCAATCGACGTCACACCTGGACGACCAGCCCGTGGCATAATGTTTCCAAGGAGATTATTTTATGTCTGGCAACTTCGTTATGCTCCTGTTTGCAGCATACCCTACGCGTGTTGACGCTGATTGTCAGCACGCTGCGACATCACTCAGGCGTTATTCACACACTTAAACGTATGTTTTAACGACCACCTGATAGATTTGAAAAACAGGTGTGTGAGTTTTATGCACAAACAAACACGCAAACATCCAAATTATGCGCTGTGTATGAACATGCACGTGCAAATTGTGAATCACAACCTTAAAGTCGAGGAGATGTCTTCATAAATATTTATTTTTTTAAAAAGCATTGTTTAATTTCAGAATAAATATGTATTAATTGAATTTTAAATGAATTTCATTTTCCGTTGCTTAACAAAAAATATATTCCAGTTGTTTTCAATTGTTGTGTTATGTTTACACAGATATCTGAGATAAAAGAGAGTTTCCAGCAAGCCGTGCAAAATGGAACAACATACCACAATGCATCCATGGTACGCATAACAGTAGACTGTAAAAATATACCATATATAGTTGTAGTTTAGAGGGCATGTACACAACTAGTCAGAACTGAGCACCTACTTATCAAAATATAATGGCGAGATCAACCCGACAGCTGCGGCAAAAGAATCGCATTTTCGCGGTAGTGGCGCATGGGTAGCCAGGGAGTATCCAGTGTGCTGGGCTACTAGGGAACACAGGGCACGGCTTTCATCCTGCCTCATACTCACATATTTCCTCCAGAAATGGAAAAGTTATATTGCACGATTTCACTGTAATACCTCACAACATATAGTTCGTACTAACGGTCGATTTTGAAATAAATAGAGTTTATTTGTTTAACAAAATTTAAGTTTTTATGTCGATATAAAACGACATTATATAAGGTTACTACCTATACCAGATTGTAATGTGTAAAGCGATAGTCATGTGAACTAGAGAAACTAGCGAATCAGCTCCAATACAGATTCTTCTATATGACTTGTTGGATGAAGGTGAGCCGAGTGGGATTCTATTCTGATTTTAGCCAGCTCACCAACCTTTACAACAGAGGAAATAATCACCCCTAGAAGTTAGATACGGGCTTCACATGGTAATATATTGTGTCTGATATCAGAGGGAAATATGATTGATGTTGTGTCGCTTCAGTTTCGGCTACCGGAGCAGTTTGACCAAGTTACCAATATCGCAGACGACAAGATGTCACCATTGTACAAACCCTTCATCAAAAGCGTGGAAAACAACACGATCGGCTTTAGTGATACAGAGAGGTATAGCACACGTCATATAATCTGATGAGCAAATGAACACCTATAAACCATGGGGAAGGGCGATATTATTCGATTCAACTAAATGCGATTGTGTTTTCTGTATGGCACAATTTGGCCTAAATTCATCAAAGCCCAATGACCTATAAAGATAAATGAATGACCTCGTCTTCAATGTTTCATTATAGACGTCAAGTGTTGTGGTCTGTCATCAATAAGCTGAAGTGCTCTGTGTGTGGACTAACGACCCACAAGTACTGGGATTCGAGGCAGAATAAAGCTCAAATGACCAACGTGAGACCTCTTGGAGTGTGTGTGAATGTATCTCGACGATAAAGTTGGTTGCCCTTGGAATTTGCAGCGGATGAAACCGAAACATAGAATGTGATGTTAACAACCTCTTCTTGTTCTGCTGACAGGCAAACAGTCATCGACAGAGCAACATCCGCCATTGCATCAGCTCTGGACAGCTTGAGGGATCTGAAATCGTATCTGACGAATGTATGTATACAACTATTTATGGCAATAATAGCGTAACGACATGGGACAGGATCAAATATCACCGTACACAAGTTCACTAGAGTGTGGTAGAAACTACGTTATCAATGCAGTGACGGATGTTTGTATCCGAGGATATATGCTATAAAACATTTACCACCATTTTACTCTCATACCCTTCTCAGCTCTAGCAGCCTACACATCCCAGTGTCAGCTAAGAGACTTGAGGGTGCCGTAATATTCAAGGGTTTCTTTTTAGAAGTAGGTCTAGCTCTATTCCGGCTTGTTGTCCTCTTTTCATTGCAAATTGCAAAAATAATGTTATCGTTATACTATATATACATTAAATGACATTATGCATTGATGAAAAGTCAGTAAAGTACCACATGAGAAAGGGCGTAGTCCGAAATTCATTAGTGAAACATTTATACTGACATTTTTGTATGTTTATGTAAGTAAATAGAAACTGTCTAGTGTTTCACAGCGATGTAATTCACAATATATACTTATCTACATACATATGATACCATTGGCAGAGTACATACATGTACGGTTAAATGTATAACTGTCACTATGCATGTAAACAGGACTACACGACTCGTTCTGGTATCGGCGTCAGTTCATTACACAACGGCGGGGAGTACTACAAGGCGTGCATGAAGGCGTACCTCTCACTGGACACCACCCCAGATGACGTCCATCAGACGGGGAAGAGGGAGGTTGCTAGAATAGAACAACTCATGATGAAGGTAAATCTGCATTGAGACTTAAATCTTCATGGGGTGGGTACATTTTCATGGAGTAGGTAAATCTTCATGGAGGGTAAATCTTTATGGAGAGGTAAATCATCCTGGAGGAGGTAAATCTTGATGGAGGGGTAAATCTTCATGAAGGAGGTATATCATCCTGGAGGAGGTAAACCTTCATGGAGAGGTAAATGTTCATGAAGGAGGTAAATCTTATCGAGGGGGAAATCATCATGGAGGAGGTAAATCTTCAAGGAGGAAGTAATATAATCATGGATGAGGTAAATCTCTATGGAGGGGTAAATCATCAAGGAGGAGGTAAATCATCATTGAGGAGGTAAATCATGAAAGAGGTAAATCTTGATGGAGGAGGTAATTCTTCATGGAGGGGTAAATTATAATGGAGGAGGTACATCATCATGGAGGAGGTAAATCTTCATGAAGGAGGTAAATCTTCATGGAGGAGGTAAATCTTCATTGAGGAGTTAAATCTTCATGGAGGAAGTAATATCGACATGGATGAGGTAAATCTCCACGGAGGGGTAAATTATAATGGAGGGGTAAATCGTCATGGAGGAGGTAAATCATCATGGAGGAGGTAAATCTCCAGGGAGGGGTAAATCATCATGAAGGAGGTACATGATCCTGGAGGAGGTAAATCGTCATGGAGGAGGTAAATCATCATGGAGGAGGTAAATCTCCAGGGAGGGGTAAATCATCATGAAGGAGGTACATGATCCTGGAGGAGGTAAATCTTCATGGAGGAAGTAATATCATCATGGATAAGGTGAATCTCCATGGAAGGGTAAATCATCAAGGAGGAGGTAAATCATCATGGAGGAGGTAAATCTTCATGAAGGAGGTAAATCTTGATGGAGGAGGTAATTCTTCATGGAGGGGTAAATGTTCATGAAGGAGGTAAATCATCCTGGAGGAGGTAAATCTTCATGGAGAAGGTAAATGTTCATGAAGGAGGTAAATCGTATCGTATCATCATGGAGGAGGTAAATCTTTATGGAGGAGGTAAATCTTCATCGAGGAAGTAAATCTTCATGGAGGGGTAAATCTTCATGAAGGAGGTAAATCGTCATGGAGGGGTAAATCATCATGAAGGAAGTACATCTTCATGGAGAGGTAAATTACCATGGAGAAGGCAAATCACTATGGAGGAGGTAAATCTTCATGTGGGAAGTAAATCACCGTGGAGGGGTAAATGATCATGCAGGGAAAATCATCGTGGAGGAGGTAAATCTTGATGGAGGAGGTAAATCTTGATGGAGGAATAAATTTACATGGAGGAGATAAATCTTCAAGGAGGAAGTAATATCATCATGGATGAGGTAAATCTCTATGGAGGGGTAAATCATCAAGGAGGAGGTAAATCATCATGGAGGAGGTAAATCTTGATGAAGGAGGTAAATCTTGATGGAGGAGGTAATTCTTCATAGAGGGGTAAATTATAATGGAGGAGGTACATCATCATGGAGGAGGTAAATCTTCATGGAGAGGTAAATCTTTATTGAGGAGGTAAATCATCATGGAGGAGGTAAATCTCCATGGAGGGGTAAATCTCCATGGAGGGATAAATCATCATGGAGGAGGTAAATCTTCATGGAGAGGTAAATCTTGATGGAGCAGGTAAATCTTGATGGAGGGATAAATTTACATGGAGGAGATAAATCTTGATGGAGGAGGTAAATCTTGATAGAGGAGGTAAATCATCATGGATGGGGTTAATCTTCATGGATGAGGTAAATCTTCATGGAGGGATAAAATTACATGGAGGAGGTAAATCTTGACGGAGGAGGCAAATGTTGATGGAGGAGGTAAATCTTCATGGGGAGGGTAAATCGTCATGTTTGGGGTAACTGTTCCGGGAATTTGGATGACTAGATAGTTCTTTAGTTACTGATGCGAAACCAGATATGAGCCTTAACTTTATGTATTTTTGTGGCAGACCATTTGTTTTTATTTCAACGGAATGAGGCATAAAAATTGCATCAATGTATTTTGTGGCAGACCATTTGTTTTGATTTCAACGGCCTGAAGCATAATTATTTTTGTCAAGTATATTCTTGGAAATCTATTATTACTGGTAAATGAGTGTTTGAAGACACAAGTTTGATACGTAACGCAAAGCCATTGCAACAGCTAGATTTAGGAGGTGTCACTCAATTTTACAAAATGTATTTGGTCGATTGTCACAACGTTGCCCAAAACAGGTCACAATGTGCATCACCTCTGATTTACCATTTATGACACACTGTATCCCCTGAACTGTTGTAACTGTATTTACATATTATCACAAGTTTGTGATTAGACATACATGTGTCAAGAATTTCGTTTGATGTAGTATTGTTCTTCTTCCAGATAATAACCAAACAGGGCTACAACCTCTCCATCAGGGAATACTTCACTGTCGTCATGAATCAGTCCCAATATTTCTACAACACAGGGGTAAAACAATTATGTTATTTATAAAATGTGTAAGAAGACGCTTATATTTTATGCCACAGGTATCAGACGATATTTAGTTTCCATGTTTCCACATGTCTCATATAACACAGGGGCCAGATTCCCATCGTTTCCCGTGACATGTACTAACATTACAAATGTAATTTGCGGAACCGCGTAAGGAAGACGATGAAAACGATAATGCTATTCCATCCGGGGACACGAGATACTATTTGGAGATTACAATATAATATCGCGTCTTCCCTTATACATAACTGGACAAGGTATAATATCACAAGACGTCGGTTCATTTACGCTGTGGTTGAAGACTGGTGTAATGAGTAGACGCCTTCGACGCGATAACACAATGTGGCACAGACTGCCCTTGATATGTGTCTCAATGAATGAATAACCAATATAGGGAAATTCATCTGCAATCCTACAAACCATGCCTTCGTTTAAGGAAGAACTACTGGAGGCCTACAGGCAGATCATCAGAGATGTCGATCCTACCCTCACCAAACTTTTCAAAGACTTGCCAGGCCTTCCCATTATGTGAGTAGAGGTTGTCGGTAGGGAGTTAGTGAATGAGCTGGGTTTTAGGCCGCTTTGAGCAATATTCCAGCCAGATCAAGCCGAGGTCATCAGAAATGGGCTTCACACATTGTAACCATGTGTGAAATCGAACCTGGACCTTCGGTGGAACGTCCGAACACTTTCACCACAAGGCTACCCACCGCCCCAAGGTTGTAGAACAGGAAGAACATATCAGCATGTATGTGTCCTGGATATTCACAGAGAACCCCGCAGGGGTCAGATGAGGTGCCAGATATTCAGTTATGGACATTTATGGAATATATTCTGAAAACCCGATGTGGTGTCACATTCACTTGGCGACCCAGATATATTGAATACAGGGAGGAGGAGGGTTTATTTGACAGACTCTTACGCCAGGACATTTATTCACACTCTATTACTCGGGGTGGACACTTTCTCGCCAATGGGATAGTGTCCGGCTACCTACCTCGGACTCTCTCTCACCCCAGACCTTGTTCCACATGACAGAGCCATGATGTTGCGTGGATATTGCTGACTGCTGCGTAAAACAAGTAGAGAAGAGTTCAGAAGTCGGAAAAGGTCGTTTAATATTCAAAAATGATATATTACTTCAATCAATTTGATACATTTCAGCGTGGTGGCTAGGCCGAATGATGGGCCACAAGGCTCGTATTCTACGGGGACTGCGGACGGCCGTACACCAGGAACTTTTACGGCAAATGTTCTGAGACCTGGAGATATGTAAGATATGACCTGTTTATACATCATTGCAGACAGGGTGTGATCTGTCTAACACTCATTATTATGGTATAATATAACTGAAATAGCAACATGTTAAATTCGCGGCTTAATGAATACATGGTTAGTCTGGATTTTGTAGACATTGTAGTTTCTTCTTTTTTATTCTACATATTTGGTTGTAAGTTGTACGTTTTCCTTGATCTCTCTCAATTCCTCTCTTAATCATGTTATATTGCAGTTTTGTCGTCAGGATCTCGTGCTATTTTTGTATGATCTTACAGACCAAAATTCGGCTTGATGGCACTAACATTGCATGAAGCAAGCCCCGGTCATCATTTACAGGTAATGGTCTATCAACTGCTAAACACCACTGCCAACATTTACAATTAATGGCATCTCAATAAGCTGACACACATCTGCCAAAATGCACACGTAAAACTTATTCAAACGCTGGGACACCTCTGTATACGTTTGTTAACCATATTGCAGATGGATTGAAATGGTGGACAAGAATATTGACAGACCGTAAATACATTGAGCAGCCAAATTAAGAATGATCTTCATATTGTGAATACATAAACAAGAGACTGTATTGTGTCATTAACCTCCAAACAGGAAAGTGACATGACAAGTAATGTCACAGAGAGACCAGTTTGTTATAATATTAACCAAGGAAGAAAACTGCCCCAACCGATCATCTTGAACCTTAAGACATACCCATTCCTTTTTATTGGATCCCAAAGCTCCGCTAAAATCCGTACAAAGTGGGATATATTGCTGGGTCCAGCAAATATACCACAAAACCCCTGTATCAAAATCTAACCAAAATCATCAATACAATCATGAAAGGACAATATTTATAATCGCAGAAAGTATTTGAGATCAGTGAGTTAATACCATGTGGAGTGTCAAAACATCAAATGATTTGCTTGAGTGAATGAGTGAGTTGGGTTTAACGCCGCTTTTAACATTATTCCAGTTATATCACGGCGTGCCAGCTTAATGTGGGAGGAAAGCCCGAAGTGATGCAGGTCTCAGACGTTAACCACTTCGGTGAAACCCACGAGCACGGGTATGGTGCTGACAAACCTAGAAACATAATTGGGGCGAACCGGGATTCGAACCCACAATCATAGGTTTCTGGCGTGCCCAAAGGGACGCAACTCTGCACAGCGAATCGCGGCGCCTTAGACAACTGGGCCACCCGTGCCCCCGATTTGCTTGAGCGTTTTCAGAGGAGAACCAAGTTTAAATATGTTGATTTGATTTTTCAACTTTGAACACTATCCTACACGGCAGTATCCACGGGGCATATGATACTAAATGTGATGATAAAGTGACACCTTCTAAGGTTAGGACAATTGGTCAAATACGAAAGCTAATTTCATCTGAAGTTTACCGAGAAAACATTCCGTGAAATGATGGACTTCCTCATAGATTTCTGTGAAGGTTTGGAGAAGGACACATTTTTTAGACAAGAGGTGAGGTGAAATGAGGTTTAACGTCGCGTCCAAGATTATTGCACTTATATAACGACGTGCATGTATGTGTGTGTGTTTGTGTGGCTGCTTGTACTTGTCCAGATTGATGCCGAGTTATAGTGCTAGCACACTGAGATACAATGTCGCTGTTTAACATGAATATCCAACTCAGACACAGTATACTGACTCCGAGCCGGCCAGTCCTTATTTTATCCCCTTAATGCCGAGCGCCCAGACAGGGTAACAACATGTACCATCTTTTAACGTCTTTTTGTATGACGCGGCCGGGGATCGAACCCCGGAGCTTCCGCTCTCCGGGCGGATGCTCTACCACTAGACCACGGAGGCGGTCCATAGACAAGAAGTAGGCACATCCATGAACATCGATTGTGCTCACCTCCTTGCTGATCTGTTTGATCAGCAGCCATAAGAGTCAGAATGTTTCGAAGTTCCTGGAGTGTATGTGGAACACGTGGTTGACGTCGAAGGCGCCGATCCATCTCATCCCACATGTGCTCGATTGGTGAGAGATCAGGGGAGCAAACCTGCCCGGGAATGACATTCACGTTGTTGTGTTAAAGAGAATCCTGAACAAGTCGAGCAATATGAGGCCGGGCGTTGTCATGTTGAAAGGTAATGTCTGAGCCATGACGACGCAAAAACGGTAGAACAACAGGGCCGATGATCTCGTCGCGGTAGCGCTGTTCATTGAGATTTCCCTCTACCACTATTAAACGGGTCCTCTGTCTTGCTGTAATCCCACCCCATAATATAACGCTGCCGCCCCCGAACTGATCTTCTTCCATGACACAATGATTGGCGTAACGTTCACCTCGGCGTCGGTACACTCGAATCCGGCCATCGCTGTGGCTGAGGTGAAAACGAGACTCGTCAGCGAATAGAACTTATCCCAACTGCATGGCCGTCCAGGGTAGACGCTGTCTGCACCACTGTAGACGTGCTTGACGGTGGTTTCCTGTCAAAACGGGACGTCTGGCGGGTCTTCTGGCGACAATCCCTGCACATCTGAGGCGACGACATACTGTTTGTGAAGATATTCGTCGAAGGGCAGGGATGCTTCTTGCAGTCACTGTTGCTGGCTGGAATCGAATTTTGTAGGTGTGTTGTTCGAATCCAGTTGTCTTGTCGCTTATAGGTAACGCGTGACCTGCCACTCCGAGAATGGTCTCTGATTGCATTCGTCTGTTGCCAGCGTTGCCATAAACACCAAATGGTGTTTCTGTGGACGTTAAATTGTCTTGCAACTTCAAGCATACCAATGCCTCGCAGACGCTCATTTTCGGACAGGCGTGGCATTTCGTAATGTTGAATAATTGCGTAATTTTGCTGTTTTTTTCTAAATGGTTGTTGTCAGCACGATGCTAAACAATGCAAATGGAATCCCGTTAACGCACATGTTTTTGTACCCATTCTTGGGTAGTGAAATGCATGGGGCTTGCATAAAAGAAAACTTTTGCATGGAATGCATGCTTTTCTGTAGCAGTTTCGTTTTTGTGACTTGATTCCATACATGTACTACAATATTGAAAATCAAACTTTACTTGTTTGAAAAATACACTAAAATATTCGTGTCACAGGAACTTTTGTTGTTGAGTACATATCGATGATCTGATATCGTTCAAAAATGGTCAAATAGTCCCTTCAACTGTCGTACCCGTACGATTCCAGATACCCGTCTCACATGAATATGTTTCCTCTTTGTCAATCTAGCATGCTCTTCCTACAAAAATCTCTAAGATCGTCAATCGACGCTTGCTCAAATGATATTTGATCAGGGTTTCAATATCCAAGGGCATACGCATGCTTTCAAAACGTTTTAAGGTAGACATGTGGAGGACATTTCCAAATTTGACGCATCGGTGACAAAAATGGCCTGTTCCCATATCTTTTCCAGCTGAACAATTGACTACCATTTGCATGTGTTTGTGATATAGTCGGATGTGTTCATTGGCCTTTTAACATACATTTCTTATGATTGTAGAATTGGTTCTAAAACGAAATATGGGCATGTGTTATACTTTACCCATAATGGTAAATGGTAGCATTAAATGTATAATATCACCATGGAGACTGTTGCATCAGTGCCAAATGTCAAGTACCTATTGGACAGAAAAAGGCTCAACTCATTTACATTACATTGTAAATACCATACGTGGGTAGGAAGAACTAAACGTTACTGGACTCACTAGCTGTACGTCAAGCGGCGGAGTGAGATGAGTTTGCCTACATACCTTTCAGCCAACGATCATATTGAACAATACAGATCAAATTGAACAATATTGGATTCATGTCAAGAAATTGTTTCCCATGTACGTTGGTATGTATGTATTGGTAGCAGTAATGTTATCGAGATACCTATATATTTTCATATCACCAATTGTTTAAAGCTGATGCTCACGGAACAGTACGCACTAGGTCACATTATGTAATTTATTTGATAAAACATTGAATTAATAATTTTATTTTTTTTTACCTCAGATCAGCTATTCTCTAACCTCGAACATGCCAAGTTTCCGTCAGAACATCGTATACGACATGTACTTGGACAATCCAGTTGGATTTCCTTCCCACGCATCCTTCAGTGAGGTGCGTGTCCCATACCCTACAGTCCTACTATACCCTACAGTCGGGCCTATGATGCCACTATTGTAGCAGTCAGTAGCTTGCTAATGCTTAGAGTCACAGTCCCAAGTTAGTTACGTTAACATTGCTGAGAAAGCATCATTCTTGTTTAGAAAACTGGGTAAATTATGTTTGTCTACGAAAAGTTATTTTCAACAAAATAATAAGTCACGATATAACTTCATTCGTAGCCACTACCTCCCTGAAAATATTATGTTTAACATTATAGTTGGGTAATTGTATTCCAATAAATATCGATTGCATTTTGGCTTCATATATGTAGGAGTTCACGTATCTTTTATTTTACACAACAAAACTACAAGACAACATTGATGTGACAATAGTCACGGACGGTTATTTTACAGTTTCAGAAAATTGGAATTCGAGGTTTTTGAAAGAAAACCAATTAATGATTACACGAGGTTTGATCATGTTCCAGGGATGGGCGTTGTATGCTGAAGGCCTCGGGGAAAAAGTGGGGCTCTACAAAGACGACATGGAACTGTAAGTTAATGACCCTGAAAACACATTTCCAAGCCTACATAAATATTAACAAAATCTCCTTCAATGTATTCATCTGCAAGAAATTTACATTCAAGACATGCATTGACTTAAGTGTTTCATCCAAATTCATGTGTATCCTTTCGCGACACCAACTAACAATATCAAGTCATCATTGTGTAATGTCGTTTTGGTTCCCTTATCGGTGTATCCATTCCAAGCATGTCTCCTGGTGACAACAGCTGCTTTATATCTGCATACGCTGTATCATAACTTCCTATGAAATGCGCACAGAAACAAAGACACTTCTGTAACCTCTCCAAAATTGTGGTTCTCAGACATGCACGGTTTTTCTCCGAAATGGGGACAAGACATTATTTTCAGGACATCCTGCATGCCCCATGGCATTTTACAGTCGTTGTAAAACCTGTGGAAAATGTGTTTTCGACATTTTCGGGTTCATATTGCCCATAATTGTCTCAGAAAATCTGGGACTGATTTTATGTATTTTTAGTGTTTTGTACAAACGGAATGTATTCTATTTCCAAGAAAACACTGTTTTGTTGTAGAATGGGTCGATACAGCTCGGAGATATTCCGCGCATGCCGACTGGTTGTGGACACTGGGATGCATTATTTCAAGTACGTGCACAACGTGTGGTTTGAGGTTTAGTTTTAAACAAGAAAGATTTATCTTTTCAAAAGTTCCATCGGCGATTTTACTATCAGTGATATAAGTATTTTGTGTTTTTAGTTGTATTTCACAAGATAGTCATACGCCATCAGTATTTAGCAGAGTGCGGCGGGGTGATTATAACTTTGTGGTTAAAGCTTGTGTTCACGCCGAAAACCCACCTCCGATTCCCCAGTAGGGCCAAATGTGTCTGAGGCCCATTCATGGCGTGCCCGACCTTGATACAGCTTGAATATTGCCAAAAGCCAACTGAAGCCGCTTACTTCCTGATTCCATTCTTACTGACATTCCATCAATAGGATGTCAACAAAGAGCGTCTCAGATTAAATTAACATGAATTTGTTTGTAGTTTAACGCCACATTCAACTACTTTCTGCAACCTTCGTTGCATAACTTTGTGACCTTTGCGCTGTGACCTATTTCATATTGAAAGAATAGGTTAAAGCCATTAGGACGGTTGTAATACTACAACTATCCGCTGTGAAAGAGTGTGATTTACAGCTGGGACAGAGAACAGATTGTGTTAAGCCATTAGGACGGTTGTAATACTACCACTGTCCACTGTGAAAGAGTGTGATTTACAGCTGGGACAGAGAACAGATTGTGTTAAGTCATTAGGACGGTTGTAACACTACCACTGTCCACTGTAAAAGAGTGTGATTTACAGCTGGGACAGAGAACAGATATGTTTAAGCCATTAGGACGGTTGTAATATTACCACTGTCCACTGTGAAAGAGTGTGATTTACATCTGGGACAGAAAACAAATTTGTTTAACCATTAGGGCGGTTGTAATATTACCACTGTCCACTGTGAGAAAGAGTGTGTGTTACAGCTGGGACAGAGAACAAATTTGTTTAACCATTAGGACGGTTGTAATATTACCACTGTCCACTGTGAGAAAGAGTGTGTGTTACAGCTGGGACAGAGAACAAATTTGTTTAACCATTAGGACGGTTGTAATATTACCACTGTCCACTGTGAGAAAGAGTGTGTGTTACAGCTGGGACAGAGAACAGGCCATTCAGTATGTCCTCAACTACACAGCCTTCACCTACGCTACAGCTGCGACTGAGATTGACCGCTACATCACCTGGCCAGGGCAGGCCCTCACCTACAAGATAGGCGAACTGAAGATCCTGGAGCTGAGGAAACGGGCAGAGCAAAGACTTGGTAGGAGGAGTTTGTTGAGAATCTTGAATACAGTTTTATACGACTTTTTGAGCTGAGTAATTTCCATTATTACGACCAGTTTTTTCACTGGTACAAGGACAGTATAGGTGATATTTGTGTTATATGTCATCACAAAGTGTTTAGTTGCTGCAAATATTTAGAGGACTATTTGCTCATAGACCTCGTAAAATAACGTAAATGAAAAGGTGTGTTCTGCACACATTTGGTATTACGGATAATATGTCCCTCTTGAATTTAGCGTGTACTATGTGTAAAGGGTAATTTCACTCGTATCATGTCATCTAAAATTCCTCGTAGTCATTCTCTTATTACACACTCGGTACTACTTCAACAGATATTAAAACAAACTTGTTAACTTGTGCATGGAATTTGTTTGTTTGATACCCGAACTTTTACCTTTCCAGTTCTACATGTGATTCATTCATAAGTTTGATCACAAACGTACACAATAATGGATATCCTATAAAGTTGGTAAATTCATACGTTTCATCAAACGTACACAAGAATGGATAACTCATCAAGTTGGTTCATTCATTAAAACACAGTTGTGTACGCCAAGCATTTGTGTACATAAATAGAGATATCCTGAATTACATACACGTTTCATATGCAATTTAATGTTTAGGTCTTATTAAATTAAACGTAGAAGCGCCTACTGCCTGATTGTGTGCATACATGGCCGATCAAAGAGAATCGATCATGACAATGGGGCTCATCGACACAAAATGAAACTAGACAAACCCTGACCTACTGTACTTTGTGTGGTTTAAGGTAGAATACATGAGCGTGTCTCTCTGCGTGTCACACCTGTCGCAGCGCACACTAAGCCAGGAACCAGACAGGAAGTGACAATTGCAAGTGAACCGTGGCATCACATCTACGCTGTGCCACCTATAGCCTTTACCAATGCATGTGTATTTCTCACAGATAATTGTATTCCTTGGGTTACTCAAGCTGCACCCACTCAATATTGGTTAAATATTTAAATAATTTGAACAACAAATGTTTAAAATACAAAAATATATGTTTCCAGGGAATCAGTTTAACGTCCGGGATTTTCACGCTGTAATTCTTGAGAACGGGAGGATGCCTCTGAATGTCTTGGAGGAAATTGTCGACGATTGGCTGGAGAACTACGTTCCCATGACAACGGAAACACCCACTGTCTGCAGTAGTGCTGAGTCGAATGGGAGAGTGCTGTCTCTGGTTCTTGCGGCACTGTTCTTGCCAGTCATACTCCGCAGTAACTTCTGAATGTATCAGAAGTAAACTAATCAGATAATCGTTTTTTCTGTACATAATTTACATAGCTGCAACTTCAAATACATACCACACCAACTGCTTCACATTTCCTGAATCACTGGCTTGTGTCCATTTGCAATGTTAATTTCAAACGTTGATACGATTTGAGCATTATTTTTATGAGGATTAAACAACATTAACGTTTCTGGTTTTACCAGTCTCTAACCTCGAAACATTATTTCATGAACTCTTTAATTGACTCTTCAATTTACTTGTATTAGGTCAAATGTCTCAAATATGTTGGCGATTTCCGCTTTCTATATATATATTGCTGTATAAGATAACCCTCATTTAATCGTGCCGTGTATTCATATTTTGACGAAAATATTCTCTTTTATTTACAAAGTCAAACACTCGCAATGAAATACAGAAAGCTATTATAAAATGTAAATACAAGAGAACAACCAGACTCGATCATCCGCCGAAAGAGATTCTACCTGGCGTAAAGGGCCAAATAGCTGTGGAAATTATGTGAATGGACCACTGTAAATCAGTAAATGTAACTATCGCTCCTATCTCCTCCTCTATTGAATTGATACATCATTAAGTACTTGTGACGTATTCAGAAACATACAGTGTTCTGTAACCAGGGTTTCAGCAGGTGTCATGCCTATCCTAAACATGATTAGAAAAGGGAAGATCTGGATGTTAGTATATCATGACCAAGACGAATTGATGCCTATCGTGGGATAGGTGTGTATGGCAATATGTTTGCTGGCACGGCATATTGGAATTATGTGTACAATTCAGTGTACTGAGCAAGGGGAAGGCAGGGGAATTCATCATCCGTACACTACCTAATCTGTGCATGAAAAATATATGGATGTTTGTTTTGATTTTATTTTTAAAAAGGTGGGACTGATACGGCAATTCTTATTGGTATTTGATAGGACTTCTTAGACGAATCACATATAACTGAAAAAACTAATAATAATAAAACGCTTGACAGGGAGGCGTGTATTTTTAAACTTCCTTTATATCTATTTTGAGTATTTTCATCCTACAATATCTGCAGACAGATATTTATGTTCTATATTCTGGTACTACAATAAAAGTAAACATGACATGGCAATTTGTGATTTGTTTTTTAATACATGTAGTTTAATAGGTGTACTAGTCGATCATGTGAGTTGAACAGCATTTCAGTCATATCACGGCATGGCTGTTGAATGTGGGAGTGGGTCTGAAGTGACGCAGGTCTTAGAAGTTTCCCTCTTGGTGAAATCGACGAGAATGTGTGGTGCTGACGCAAATAGAAACATAATCAGGGCGAATCTGGGAATCGAATCCACAAGACAGGTTTCTGGCGTGCCCAAGGGGCGCAACTCTGCACTGCAAGATGAATGGGACACCCGTGCCCCAGTAATTATAATAGTAGTAGTAGTTGTAGGGGTAGTAGTGGGTAGTGGTTGGAAGTGGTGGTTGTAGTGGGAATTGGAGTGGTGGGCGTTTTCGTAGTAGTACGCCAACCAAACACTACACGTCGACTTGATAGGACCGGGCCATCCGTGACGTTGATTGCGTATGTTATGTGTAGGGTAAAACACGTCCGACGGTTTTTATGAGATTTGAAACCCCAATCCGAGGTTTTATCCTGAGGGTGATAGTTTTTAATCTACTATAACACAGAGGGGGTAATTTATCTTACTCATAAACTGAATGAAAAATGTGAAACAACATTTATCTACAATTTTGTTTCAAACACCCTTTCTATAAAAACTTTAAGAAAGGGAAGTAAAATATATCTTGCTGACATACATGTACTTCAAAAAACGATTTGTAAAAGCATTGTGATTTATGCATGTATGTGTGTGTGTGTGTTCGTGTGTGTGTTCGTGTGTGTGTTGTGTTCGTGTTCGTGTTCGTGTTCGTGTTCGTGTGTGTGTGTGTGTGTGTGTGTGTGTGTGTGTGTGTGTGTGTGTGTGTGTGTGTGTGTGTGTGTGTGTGTGTGTGTGTGTGTGTGTGATATTGGTGGAGGGATATTTTGTGTGTTAAATCGAGGGGAATTAAATTATGCCACAGCCTGGATTTTATAAATATTATATATCTAAATATAAATAAAAATATGTATGTTTAGACGTCGAAAGCTCCGACGTTCATACAGTTTGGTCCTCACTCCATGCAGGATCATACTCCAATGAATTTACACAAAGTGAAAGTCCATTCTTATAATTTCTTGTAGCGTAACATGACTTCATGTTTACACTGACAGTCATACAACAACCTGCTGCATCGCGGAAAAAAATAGTTCCACAAGAAGGTCGTTTGTTAACAAGAAATAAATTCAAATATTATCATCCTTGGTGTGAGACAGGTTTGTTAAGAGCTACCTCAATACGTCAGTCACAATGACTGCGCGTTGTAATACATTTACATCAAGTACAAGACGTCATAATGGCCGACACGATAAACGTTACGTGAGTGATATCCGTATGGGTAAATCAACCCGTGGCGGTTATATGTGTTATTCATCATTGATCAGTTCGCCGATTACTGAAAGTAGATTATAAAGATTTGTCAAGTATATAATATATATTACTGTAATAATATAAATTACTGTGGGCTGCCACTGTGAGCCTGGGCACGATCGATCGAGTCGATCTACTATAGTGGAAGTGCATTTTCATGTTTTGTTCAGTAGGATTGGCTATGTGGGGGATATAAGTGAACGATCAAGCAGCCAAACCTTCCTACGTTTCTCGATGTTTGCTAAAACGCCGAGATCATGATTAAAGCGCGTGCATCGTCAGAAACAAGCATTTGTATGTTTGTTTTTTGTGAAAGAGAATTCCAAGGGGTTTGTCCATGAATATGTACATGTAATTAGTCCGTCAGTGTTTACCTCATTTCAAGAATACAGTCTCGTGACAACAGTCTTGTGACGTCAAATTGAGTTGTTCGTACGCTTATGAACATCACTTTCGATGTGATGTGACTGGCCTCTCTTCCAATGGAAAAGCCGTATATCATGTGAACTTCACCTTAAAAAAATAAAATATATATAACATCCAGGAGATTGTACAAAATGTGGATTTTATGAGATTCAAATTAATGAAAAGGAGTCTGGGATGAATTAACTGCTGGTTGATAATATGGAGAATGAAATATGACGCTGTAATTGGGAGCGGCGTCTGTGGACGTTAGCAGCCTACAGTACAGTTCATAGGAGCAGTTGGGTGGCCTGAAGGTTGCAGTTTGCGCACTTCCCTCACAACATTCGGATTCGATCCCATACGATCTTTTTTGTGGATATGCCGTTTGGAAGGTTAAAGATTGCAAAAGTGATTCTTTATGTGTTCCAATTCGTTAGGCCAAAATGATAAACATTAACTGTTATCATATTCCTAACATTGATATTAGGCATTTCCCATGTGCGATACAGCCAGCATGGAGACGGTCATATGACAGGGTGTGTAATAACCAGACCTGTATTACACCCCTGTCGAGCTGACATGGCTTGTCAATGCATTTTGAATTGGCGATAAAGGGTGGTAACAAATTCAAATTACGTCCCTTAGTACGTCGTCTGCTCGTCTGCTCGGAAAGCTTTCCCGTGAAAATGTCTTCCAAACAAGGTGGAAATGTATTGCATTCACTTGCAAATGGATGCATTTTACAATGTGATGTTATGGTATATGACAGAAAGGTTATTATATGGCAGTTCTCGATCCCCATAGCACTTCTCTGGCCTTCGGCCCTCGGGCTGATATAGGGGGCTCGGGCTGATATAGGGGGCTCGGGCTGATATAGGGGGCTCGGGCTGATATTGGGGGCTCGGGCTGATATTGGAGGCTCGGGCTGATATTGGGGACTCGGGCTGATATAGGGGGCTCAGGCTGATATTGGAGGCTCGGGCTGATATTGGGGACTCGGGCTGATATAGGGGGCTCGGGCTGATATAGGGGGCTCGGACTGATATAGGGGGCTCGGGCTGATATAGGGGGCTCGGGCTGATATAGGGGGCTCAGGCTGATATAGGGGGCTCGGGCTGATATAGGGGGCTCGGGCTGATATAGGGGGCTCGGACTGATATAGGGGTCTCGGGCTGATATTGGGTGCTCGGGCTGATATAGGGGCTCGGGTTGATATAGGGGGCTCGGGCTGATATAGGGGGCTCTGTTTGATAAAGGGGGCTCGGGCTGATATAGGGGGCTGGGGTTGATAGGGTTTGGATATGAAAACAGCCATTTAAATACATCTAAGTAACATTTCCACATTATTAATACAGCAAGAATACCAGCTTACCGATAATGTTATGCAACAACATTCATTATTAACATTTAATTTTTTTAGTAAATGGAAGGTTGTATATATGATCATTACCGAGAAACAACATCGATAAAATACGGTGGCGTTTGGACTGTGAATATCATAGATAAGGCTATACAAGGGTCGAGTAGTAAATAAGGATTGGCTATGATATGTGTCAGGGTACTCCGATGTCCTGGGTTGCAATCTCATTAAGATTAGATCTTACTTCTCGCTGTCGCTAAATAAGCGAGAACCTAGGTCTGATCTTAATGAGATTGTCCTGGGTTGTTTCTCCTACTGAAACACAACGTCCACTCACTGCCTCTTTACCCCTGCATGACTGAGCACTGCTTTATCCCTCAACCAATACCATCAGACTCCTGAAGTGAACGTACCGGGGGATATCATAACTGTTGTGTCGTGCGCTTTAATTATTTTTCCCATAGTCCCTCTTGCTTTTCAGTGCATTTATTCCATCTGTTCTCTAGACGCCCTTTGATATTATATCTGGTTAAAAGGGTGGTGACCCTTCATTTCATTCGATAACATTCAAAGAACCCAACAGCATAGTGACCGGGCTTTCTCTTACCTAAGGCTTTTCAACATACTGTTGTAGATACATTTGTTGGATATGGATGCAGAATGCTATCTTGTTTTGTTTGCATACACGTATGTGTTTACTTTCTTGTATTGATGTAAATTCGCAAGATTAACATATACTATAACATGTTCAGAAAAATCTTTTATTTCATTTCGCCAAAACTCGCGGATAATTTGCAGTTTGTTTTCGAAACTTCATTGCTCCTTTAATGGGAGTTACTAGTTTTAAGAACATCCCCAATTATAAGACTGTGTTTTGCAATACAATCAGCCATGACTGATTGACCATAGTCATATGAAAGAATCGGATGTTCTTTACCTTCTTTTGAACAGTAAATATTTAAATTCTAACCTGATTTATTTAAAGAGTTTTACCATGACCCGCCACGCGCTGACGGCGTGATGGTTCTATAAAACTCAAATAGGGACACATTTTACGCAGAAATCCGTGGATTGATTTGAAATCCCCTAGGTCTGTACAGTTATTATGTTTAAGAGAAAAAGGTATAATTTGAATGTGACTGGAAAAAAATGTCTTCCCTTTCTCATCTCGTGTTATCGCTTTCTGCATTTCTCGTCTCGTGGTATCCCCTTACCGCTTTCTCGCGGCCGTAATTGAAGGCGAGAAAGCAATGTCCCCTCTCGGCACAATACAATCGGCAAACCTTTCACATATGTCGACGCTCATGAAGGGTTGATTCTATTAGCCCACCCGAGAAATCTATGGTCTGGTCTCATAGGGTGTAATGCGGCTATTGTTCAGTACCAGGTTTGGGGGGCATCAATGTTGTTTTTGGTTCATTCAGATCTTTGATTGCAAAAGTCAAAAGGGTTTAACCATGAGAAGAGATCTTATTTGAGACCATCTCCGAATAACACGTATTTTTACAAAGTTAAGTTATTTTGGAGAGGTTTGGCATAGTTTCCAGGATTTGAAAGCACCGAATCCTGACAGTTTCCTACAGTATTCTGAATTTTAGAACGGAGACATGCCTGTTTCCAAACATTAGACTGTGACAAAGCTCTGACAAAACTTCGTGTGTGTACAATCATTAATTATAGGGTCTGTTACTTAGTGCTGCCTCCGCGTATTTGAACCACTGTGTTGCTTTTCTTTTATTGCAAACTGTATATGTTTGAATATCATTTATTGATTGTTCATTTATCCTTTGATTTTAGTTCTGGTATTGAGTTTTACATGTGACATTGTCTTATCATCGAAAGCGTTTATGTCTGAATTAGACGTTGGATGCTTTGAATCCTCCGTTTTTTACTACAAACAACTTGTATTCTTTTCTTCTTGTAAGGTAATTTTACCAAACGAATGCAAAGCATTTATATTGAAAAATAGTTTTAATAGTTTTTGTTGGGTATTGAAGAAAGAGAGATGATTAAGTTTGGGTAGAATAATGGATTTTAATATGGTTCTTTTATCAAATGGCATTAGGTTTCTAGCAGACCATGTATTCATTAAAGTACATGTATGAAATGTTGATAGTTTTTCACTACATATGAAAACCGATTTTAACCCTAACTTTAAAATGGTAATGCTTCTGAAATAATGAGTTTGCAGTCTGAGATGGTCCGTGTGGTCCTGTAGGTGCCATTATTCACAAATTGTTCGTCCAGTCACAGAAGGCTTCCTACATGTTGCTAGGTGAAGATAAGGGCCAACTGAAGAAGCGAAGAAAGATGCACATAAACCTACCAGCACTGTCCCCGACTTCCCCCGAAAATATTGTGTGTTCTGGTAGAAAAGGACAACTTTCGGTTAGCGGGAGCATATTTTTTAATGCAATTTTCCAGTGATATGTTCGCTGCAACTCACTAACAAGTATTACCGAACAGAGTTGTTTATCTGATTGTCATTAATTGTGTAACTTATTTTAAGACACTTGAAAGTTTAAAACACTTGGTAGCTGTCCTTAACTTTATTTATGACGAACATCGAATTGCTTTGCTTCGGAAACGTTTTTTTTTCAAATAAACATAGTTGAAGAAAGATCAAGCTGACCTGGGATTTTTATGAGTGTGGAATGGTTGACGTAGGGACATTTCCACTGCGGCATGGATAAGTGAGATAAGAAAACGTTGCTACTTTTTCACGTCAGAATGAAAATTCAGGGTCGGCGAGTGATAGGAAACAGTCTTGTATGTAGGATGTGTAAATGAGTAGATAACTACAGATTTACTTACAGTTGAATACCGATAATGTTGACATGCATAATATAAACCTAAGCATTCCAATGACTTATCTTGTTAACCCTTTGACAAACATGAAACTTCACACATGTTGTAATCATTGTAGGACTTGTCTTTAACTGTTGACAAATAACGTGACTAGGTTACATAAACTGGAAAGTTCTAAGGGAAACATATTGGACATGTATTTTGTTATCATGTTATTACGATAAGTGTTGATGCATTAATATCTGTATCCTCCGTTTCATTAATTTGTTTCATTTGACCATATTATGCTTTGGTTGATGTCCACAATTCACATCGCCTATCTTGTCCTTTCAATTCGATTCTATTGCGATAAGTACCCTGAGCCCATTCTCTACCATAGCTTCGTTTTTACCCTGATTCAAATCGTGCACCTCTAATAATACTTTCACAAGCGAGAGGAAGGCTGAGCTAGCTTAGTGATAGGAGCGTTCCAGGTTGTGACGTCACTACTGTGGTGGCGAATAGGTGCAGGGTGTTTATATCAAAATATGATGGAGATGGGCTATACTGGATAAGGGAGGATGTCTAAGCGCACTTTGTATGTAAATATGGAAGGACATTTTCAAGAGGAATTATTTTAGATAAATGAGATGCAGACCCATAAGCAAGAGTGTGTTAGCAGTTGTCATGGTGATTGTAGCTGAAAGCGATTTTCGAGGAATGCATGATCATTAATTTTAACCATGTGATATTTCCTTAGTCAGGCTTGTTATTTAGCAGTTCCCTGTAAATTGATATGGTTTATGGTTTTGTCAGTATGTGACCAATGCCGCCATTGTTGAAAAGTATGGAGTGCTTGGATATCTCAGGAATATCATGTCAAGTATTTATCTCTCATCACAATTATATCTGCCTTATTAAGTAATCTTCTGTATCAAGCGTATTTTCTATATCAATATATCTTCGATTTGACCCTTGCGATGTGTTTGGAGATATTGTTTGGTCATGTCAAGGATAAAGGTCATCTTCAAGGTCATGCATAGCCCTAAAAAATGTTTGATCAACTGGAGAAACATTTACTGTAGGTCAGTGAAGCTTGGTACATGTCAACCTAAGGTTGAGGCGGTGATCTGAAAAGATATAGGTCAGTGTGCCATTTTCACTTAAATGACTTTTCCTGCAAATATGCTTACATTTTTTTTAAGATGTGGTCTCTACTTACATTTTATATTCAATATGATTATGTGAATATTGGGCAATATGTTTCGAAACATCAGCATGCATACTGTTATGAGTACAATGGAATAGGGGTTGGGATGGAGATCTAATAATTAATGTATTGTGTGTAATGGCAGACAAATTAACATGCGAAGAGAAAAAGCAAATTCACATTCGAGCTTGCTGGGTTGGCTGATTGGATGGTCGAGCTTGCAGGGTTGGCTGATTGGGTGGTCCAGCTTGCTGAGTTGGCTGATTGGGTGGTCAAGGCTTGCTTGGTTGGCTGATTGGGTTGTCAGGCTTGCTGGGTTGGCTGATTGGGTGGTCAGGCTTGCTTGGTTGGCTGATTGGGTGGTCGAGTTTGCTGACTCGGCTAATTGGTTGGACGAGCTTGCTGTGCTGGGATTTTGGGTGGTCGAGCTTGCTGAGTTGGCTGATTGGGTGGTCAGGCTTGCTGAGTTGGCTGATTTTGTGGTCAGGCTTGCTGCGTTGGCTGATTGGGTGGTCGAGCTTGCTGAGTTGGCTGATTTTGTGGTCGAGCTAGCTGAGTTGGCTGATTGGATGGTCAGGCTTGCTGGGCTGGCTGATTGGGTGGTCGAGTCTGCTGTGTTGGGGTTTTGGGTGGTCGAGCTTGCTGGGTTGGCTGATTGGGTGGTCAGGCTTGCTGAGTTGGGGTTTTGGGTGGTCGAGCTTGCTGGGTTGGCTGATTGGGTGGTCAGGCTTGCTGAGTTGGCTGAATGAGTGATCGAGCTTGCTGGGGTGGCTGATTGGATGGTCGAGCTTGCTGTGTTGGGGTTTTGATGGTCGAGCTTGCTGGGTTGGCTGATTTTGTGGTCGAGCTTGCTGAGTTGGCTGATTGGGTGGTCGAGCTTGCTGGGCTGGCTGGTCAGGCTTGCTGCGCTGGCTGATTGGATGGTCGAGTCTGCTGTGTCGGGGTATTGGGTGGTTGAGCTTGCTGGGTTGGCTGATTGGGTGGTCGAGCCTGCTGGGTTGGCTGATTGGGTGGTCAGGCTTGCTGAGTTGGCTGAATGGGTGGTCGAGCTTGCTGGGGTGGCTGATTGGGTGGTCGAGCTTGCTGGGGTGGCTGATTGGGTGGTCGAGTTCGCTGAGTTGGCTGATTGGGTGGTCGAGCTTGCTGGGTTGGCTAATTGGTTCGTCGAGCTTGCTGAGTTGGCTGATTGGGTGGTCGAGCTTGCTGAGTTGGCTGATTGGGTGGTCGAGCTTGCTGGGTTGGCTAATTGGTTCGTCGAGCTTGCTGAGTTGGCTGATTGGGTGGTCGAGTTCGCTGAGTTGGCTGATTGGGTGGTCGAGCTTGCTGGGTTGGCTAATTGGTTCGCTGAGCTTGCTGAGTTGGCTGATTGGGTGGTCGAGCTTGCTGAGTTGGCTGATTGGGTGGTCGAGCTTGCTGAGTTGGGTGATTGGTTGGTCGAGCTTGCTGAGTTGGTTGATTTGGTGTCATGATGTTTGTTCTTGTTTTCATTTCAGATTTGGTCTAAGTGTTTACTTGCCAACATGCGGCTTTCAACCAGATTTACTTTACGTAGGCAAGGAAATATTGTGGCTAACGTATTCTACACAACCTTTAAATAAAAAGCGAAAACATCTATCCAGGCACACCATAAACCATCAACTCTCTGTGTCACTTTTGAAATTTTGCATGTATATCAGAATAGTGTATCCCTTCACCATGGCGTAATTTTCACTTCCGTTGCATGCTGGGATACACCGGGACCGGAAGTGCCACCATTTTATTAAAAGGTCCTATCACGATTAGTTTATTAACTGACAAGTGCACGCAAGATCCAGACTTCTGAAACTGAATGAACCCGTGAACACACTGTCGTGCAATTGCGGTTGTGTCTTTCTAACTATACTCTTCCAAAAAAAAGAAACGCAAAGCCAGATTGGTGTGAGGTAGGAAAATAACATTTATACGAGTAACCATACAGGGTATTGAGCCAAAATGTTGTGGAGAGATTATAATCGTCTCAGTTATCGGTACATAGGAAAAGTCCAAGGTGAAGGTCAGCTACCATCAATAACGCGTATGTTCTCCGCTGGAATCGATAACGGCCTGACATCTCCTGCCCATGGAAGAGACGTGTATGCGAATCACATCCTGGGGAATGGAAGCCCATCCGGCCTGCAACGCAAAAGCCAACTGCTGAAACGTCTGGGGTTGTGGTTGACGTCGGCGTAGACCTCTGTTTAATTCAACCTACAGGTGCTCTATCAGGTTCAAATCCGGGGATCTAGAGGGACAGGGGAGAACATCAACGTTGTTGTTGTGGCGACAGGCTCTGGCGATCCGTGCTGTATGCGGTCGAGCGTTGTCCTGCAGGAATACACCGTTGCCGTTGGTTGCAATTGGGAGAACGTGTGAGGGAGAATTTCGTTGACGTATCGTTGAGCCGTAGGCCCGTGCTCTTCCATCCCTTCGACGGAGGAGAAATCTTGATTCGTCGCTGAAACAGACATCTCTCCATCGCATTTGAGTCCATACCCTGTGTTGATGACACCAATGCAGTCGTTGTTGACGATGTTGTCGACTCAATATGACGCGTCGAACAAGACGTCTTGTTCGTAAACCTGTTCCTCTTAAACGGTTTCGTACGGCCTGGTCGGATATTCTACGCAGTCCGGGAATTTGAGATCGAATGGAGTGGCTGTTGTCGCCCTCTCACGTAGGTGGCGCAGTCGGATGTAGTGATCTTGGGCGGGTGTGGTTACTCTTGGTCGTCCCGACCTTGGCCGATCACGTGTTGATCCATACCCTTGTGATGGTGCTGGGCGCGACATTGACAACCCTGGCTACAGCTGATCGGGATTCCCCTGCCTGCAAGCGGCCTATGACGTTGTTTCTTTGCACTTCTGTTAATTTTGGCATGTTGTTGAACTGTCACTGTTGGATTGATGCAGATGCAAGGCAATAAAAAATCATGCACTTTAATACCGTTCATAGTGCTGCTGCACGTGCAGTACGTGCAGCTCCATGGCCCTTTTGTTAATGTTTTACCGAATCGTACGTGTTTCCTGACTAATGGTTGACATATCCTTGTTGTGACCATTCTGACACTATAACACATTAAACCTCTTCATTTTGCACCTCTTGGTAAGCTAATATTCCTCTTATGGCCAAAAATATCCGTATTGCGTTGGGTTTTTTAAGAGTATATCCCCTCACAAAACTTGCAGGCTTACATGGTGGCTGCCAGGACAAGTGGAATCGATTGGAGGGATTCGCTTTGTAGCACTGAGTGCATGTGATGCATCTCCGATTCTGAGAAGAGGATTTGGGTCCATGTGAGGCATCGATCCCAGGCTAAGTTGTGACGACCGAGTGCTTTAGCCAGTTAACTTTTCTACCAAGTGAACATGACAGTCATATTGATAAATCTTTATCTGACCCTTTTTTTACGAAATGTACTTTGGTATTTGTTTAGTTTTTTTTGTGTAATGCAAAACTTATGTTCCGTTGTTTTGGCAACTGTTTCTATATTTCATCTTGATTTGACCATGCTTTTTAATTTTATTAAAATGCAGATTTGGCTCAAGCTTCAAATCTCCTCTGAGTTTGAAATTTTAAACTGTTGACATTATAAACTCATCCATAACATAAACATAAATTTATTTATTTATATATATTTATTCCTCCTGCAAAGATCTGCCGGTAGATTGAACCAAAATATTTCCATTGTGAAGATGCACTGTCTTGCTCCTCTCCTGATACATTCTCTGTATAGGTTCGACTGGCCTGGTGACATGTAATCTGTCTGTGGATTGCAACACTACTTGAAATTGATTAACTCATTCGTCCTACATTATGCTATAAAACACATATAGCTGACCCCCATGAAGTCAACGTGTTCAGAGTTCACCATTTTACTCTGATGCAATCTTTGAACAGGCCGTTGTCAGGGCAGTGTTCGTCTAACGTGAATGTCATGAGGTTATCAGTGTTTGTTTCCACAGCACCTAAATGTTTGTAGAAGTTGATACCACTTGTGTTCCCTCGTTTGGCCATCCACTGCATATATCCACAACCCCAGGACAGGGCTAACTGCAAAACAACAGTGAAAACGGTGGCAGTGAGGATGAAACACAAATAGAGTCAGGCAGATAGGGTAAGATTATTGCATATATTTCATAGTAAACAGGTCACGCTGACACGACGACATGAAACCAGCCTTGACCTACTTACGCGGCTGTGGTGGACAACTGTTAAGAGAGTCGCCGTGTCTCGCCAGCCGCGATGGCGTCTGAAAGACTAATATATCGTCGATGTGTATTACAGAGTCACTTTTATTACACAGTACATTTCTACCCTATATATATAGTTTACCAGACTGACCTCTTTACATAAGTATTTGTGTTATATATCCATCTCACGTTACACGCTCTCTGTATCAGGTAAACAGGTCTACCCACAGTTTAAGATAACGTACCGAGGACTCAGTAAACGCCCTACTGATGCAGGAAGTGAGTGCATGTTGCTTAATGCGTCAGTTAGAAATAGTCAGAAGCTATATCACAACGATTTGTATACAATCGAAAGTCCTTGATATCGGATATGATGACGTACACTCGTCCAAGCCACCGAGCCCGACAAGTTGGCTCCCACGACGACCATAAGGTATACTGGGGGCCTAATGTGACTCGGAATTCCCACAGCATAAGGCATATCTCAACCCTAATTTTAGTGTCCATGGATGTGCATATCTTCACCCTAAAGCCCTGTAATGGTATTTAACCGTTATCGTTGTGAAACAATTCAATACATGCATTTTGCTTATTTTGTCTTAATCCATCGCTATTTTCCATCTGGACCTTAAATGTTACAACTAGATACAGTTGAAGCCAAACCCAACCTCCTACGTCCATTGAGGCTGTTCATTTTAGTTGTCACACACACAACCACAAACTAATCAAGATACGAAACTTGATACTAAACACAATCTACTGGCATCTTCATTGTATAAAGGTCTGTACTCGTGACTAAACATCCGATGCCAATCACCATCATGCTGGCATCTTCATTGCATAACAGTCAGTACTTGTGACTAAACATCCCATGTCATACACCATCATGCTGGCATCTTCATTGCATTACAGTCAGTACTTGTGACTAGACACCCCATGCCAATCACCATCATGCTGGCATCTTCATTGCATTACAGTCAGTACTTGTGACTAAACATCCCATGTCATACACCATCATGCTGGAATCTTCATTGTATTACAGTCAGTACTCGTGACTAAACACCCCATGTCATGCACCATCATACTGGATCTTCATTGCATTACAGTCCGTTCTTGTGACTTAACACTCCATATCATACACCCTCATGCTGGCATCTTCACTGAATTACAGTCAGTACTTGTGACTAAACATTCCATGTCATACACCATCATGCTGGCATCGTCATTGTATTACAGTCAGTTCTTGTGACTAAAAATTCCATGTCATACACCATCATGCTGGCATCTTTATTGTTTTACAGTCAGTACTTGTGACTAAACACCCCATGTCATGCACAATCATGCTGGCATCTTCGTTGTATTACAGTCAGTACTTGTGACTAAACACCCCATGTAATACACCATCATGCTGGCATCTTCATTGTATTAAAGTCAGCACTTGTGACTAAACATTCCATGTCATACACCATCATGTTGGCATCTTCATTGTATTACAGTCAGTACGTGTGACTAAACGATCCATGTCTTGCACCCTCATGCTGGCATCTTTATTGTATTACAGTCTGTACTTCTGACTAAACATTCCATGTCTTGCACCCTCATGATGGCATCTTCATTGTATTACAGTCAGTACTTGTGACTAAACACCCGATGCAAATCACCATCATGCTGGAATCTTCACTGTATTAAAGTCAGTACTTGTGACTAAACATCCTATGCCATACACCTTCATGCTGGCATCTGTATTTTATTACAGTCAGTATTTGTGACTAAACACCCGATGCAAATCACCATCATGCAGGCATCTTCATTGTATTACAGTCAGTACTTGTGACTAAACATTCCATGTCATGCACCATCATGCTGGCATCTTCATTGTATTACAGTCAGTACTTGTGCCTAGACACCCGATGCAAATCACCATCATGCTGGCATCTTCATTGTATTACAGTCAGTACTTGTGACTAAACATTCCATGTCATGCACCATCATGCTGACATCTTCATTGTATTACAGTCAGTACTTGTGACTAAACACCCGATGCAAATCACCATCATGCTGGAATCTTCACTGTATTAAAGTCAGTACTTGTGACTAAACACCCGATGCAAATCACCATCATGCTGGCATCTTCATTGTATTACAGTCAGTACTTGTGACTAAACATTCCATGTCATGCACAATCATGCTGGCATCTTCATTGTATTACAGTCAGTACTTGTGACTAAACACCCGATGCAAATCACCATCATGCTGGAATCTTCACTGTATTAAAGTCAGTACTTGTGACTAAACATCCTATGCCATACACCTTCATGCTGGCATCTGTATTTTATTACAGTCAGTATTTGTGACTAAACACTCAATATCATACACAATCATGCTGGCATCTCCATTGTATTACAGTCAGTACTTGTGACTAAACACCCGATGCAAATCACCATCATGCAGGCATCTTCATTGTATTACAGTCAGTACTTTTGACTAAACATTCCATGTCATGCACCATCATGCTGGCATCTTCATTGTATTACAGTCAGTACTTGTGACTAGACACCCCATGCCAATCACCATCATGCTGGCATCTTCATTGCATTACAGTCAGTACTTGTGACTAAACATCCCATGTCATACACCATCATGCTGGAATCTTCATTGTATTACAGTCAGTACTCGTGACTAAACACCCCATGTCATGCACCATCATACTGGATCTTCATTGCATTACAGTCCGTTCTTGTGACTTAACACTCCATATCATACACCCTCATGCTGGCATCTTCACTGAATTACAGTCAGTACTTGTGACTAAACATTCCATGTCATACACCATCATGCTGGCATCGTCATTGTATTACAGTCAGTTCTTGTGACTAAAAATTCCATGTCATACACCATCATGCTGGCATCTTTATTGTTTTACAGTCAGTACTTGTGACTAAACACCCCATGTCCTGCACAATCATGCTGGCATCTTCGTTGTATTACAGTCAGTACTTGTGACTAAACACCCCATGTAATACACCATCATGCTGGCATCTTCATTGTATTAAAGTCAGCACTTGTGACTAAACATTCCATGTCATACACCATCATGTTGGCATCTTCATTGTATTACAGTCAGTACGTGTGACTAAACGATCCATGTCTTGCACCCTCATGCTGGCATCTTTATTGTATTACAGTCTGTACTTCTGACTAAACATTCCATGTCTTGCACCCTCATGATGGCATCTTCATTGTATTACAGTCAGTACTTGTGACTAAACACCCCATGTCATACACCATCATGCTGGCATCTTCATTGCATTACTGTCAGTACTTGTGACTAAACATTCCATGTCATGCACCATCATGCTGGCATCTTCATTGCATTACTGTCAGTACTTGTGACTAAACACCCCATGTCATGCACAATCATGCTGGCATCTTCATTGTATTACAGTCAGTACTTGTGACTAAACACCCCATGTAATACACCATCATGCTGGCATCTTCATTGTATTAAAGTCAGCACTTGTGACTAAACATTCCATGTCATACACCATCATGTTGGCATCTTCATTGTATTACAGTCAGTACGTGTGACTAAACGATCC